GATAGAAGTTTTCTGTTTTATTATTAGGCCTGGCTTGGCCCTGCACTTAAGTGGCTAAATTGGTACTGAAAATAGAATCTTAAAAATATTTTTCTCTATTGCTGTGTATTTACGTGATGTAATTTCAGAAGTACCACTTGGGCTTTCCAAATGTCAGCACAAGCCTGTTGGTAAAATTTCAGCCTTTGAATCAGAACAGCATGTTCAGATCTTCYGTGCAAGTTTGTTTGCTGTCCAGTATTAGCACTGCAATGCAGAAGGAGAGACCTGCTGACTTTCTGGTCGTCCTTGCTCCTGCAGTCAAGGTGCAGCRGGGGGAAAAGGAGGGGGCAGGAAGAACCTTCTGCTTGTTTGGTTGAACGTGAAGGAGTTGATGCTGTAATGCTGTTTCTAAAAATTCTCCTCCTACAGGGAATGCCCTGACAAATAGATCTGCCCTAAAATCCAGGTGTCGTCAGCTATTGTTACRTAATTTTCTTGCATACCTCATTTGTTGCTTTAGATGTATTCTGTGGTATCTGGTAAATTGTTAGTGCTGACCACAAGTAACAAGATCTGTTCATCATGCTATGAGATTAATCAGATATAACTTGTTATCAGTGTTACAGTCTGTGTCTTAGGCTTGCATCTCTTCTTTGTTTGGCACAGCAGCAGATCCGATGCATGCTGGGTTTTCTGCTGCTGTGTGCAGCACAGCTTTCAAGAAGGTAAAATCTAAGCACAGCACCTTCTCCAGCAGTGCTTGGCAGTGTCCAAGTGCAGGGTTCATGAGGGAGGCTGCAAGGCGTGCTCTGTGTCAGCCCCACTGTGCCCTCCCAGCTGTCAAATGACTTGGCTGGGGCTGTGGCACCTTTCCCCTGCTTCAGCCTGGAGTTGCACTGTCCTTGGTGTTGATACATCTCATGAGCCTCTTCTCTTAAGGTGGAGAACCTTAGAATGACAAAAGTAAAAGCCAAAATACTCCAGCTTTCTAGTCCTTGCCCTTTGTATCTTTATATGCAAAAAATGGAGAAATATTTTGAAATGTTTGAGCATGTTTACTTTCTGGATTGTGCACTTTGATGACTGTGCACCGTGATCTGTGATGAAATGTGTGCTAACATTATGAAAGAGCCTGTTTGTGCAGAGATGGTGGTGGTGGTGGGTTGGTCTTGGCTGGGTACCAGTTGCCCACCAGGGAGCTCTATCACTCCTCAGGGCGTGGGGCAGGGGGAGAAAATAAATTGGAAAAAGCCTCAGGGGTTGAGGTAGAGGCAGTTTAATAAAGCAAAAGCAAAGATCATGTATGCAGAAGCAAGGGGAAACAGAAGGTTTTGTTCTCTGCTTCCCCATTAGGGAAGTAGGGCTTCAATATTTGTAGCAGTTACCCTGGAAGACAAATATCTTAAATAACGAATTCCTTCCTTTTTTTTAGCTTTTTTTTTTTCCTTCATTTTTAAAAATTTTTTTATCTGTCCATCTCTGATCAGTTGTCATGATAAGGAGTGTCCCTTCTGTCAGTTTGGTTTGGCTGGCCTGGCTGTGTCCCCTTGCAGGATTTTGCCCACCCCCAGGCCCCTGGTGATAGTGAGGAATGTTGGAGAGCCAGCAYGGATGCTGTGTGAACTCTGCTGTGTTATCGACACCTTTCTAGCTGCCAGTACAAAGCACAGCACCACCAGGGCTGTTGWTGGGAAAATTAACTCCATCTCAGCCAGTCCCAGTACAATGGACTTTGTTTTTCTGCAGCTAACTAAGCAAATTCAGTACTAGAGCAGGGAAAAGTGTTCTTACACTGAAAATCAGATGTTTGAAAGTACTAAAATCCATTCCAGGAGTTCTATGGCGCCTCTGTACTTAGYTGTCTCCTTTTAACTGTCTAATTACCTTTGAAAAATCCCACTAAGTGCCTATAAAATTTATTAGCTTAGAAAAAATTCAYCCATTAAAAAGGTACTCTGTAAGCTGTATTTTTGATCTCATTGGGAAAATCTGTGTATTATCCAACCATCTTTAAATATAATGTTACCCAAGAGAGTTTTGATAGCTTTGCATCAGAAATTTTTACTGTTAGTTTATTAGGTAGAACTTGGTGGCTTTTTGTGGGGAGAGAAGCAGAGAAATGTGACACGTTGTGAGTCTGATAGTTCTTGGCTTTCCTACCAGCACGTTGCCAAATGTGATTCTCCTCAATAGATATGCTGAGTGTAAGCAGCCATTCTGCAGCCCTTAAGAGTTGATGAGATCAGCTTTTAATTCAGGTCTGTCAAGGTAGTTGCTTGAAGTGTTCCCTGCCTATTTTTGAAAGCCCTCTGTCCAAGGAACAAAGTTCAAGGCTTTCAAAGTCTCCACAGTTGAAAATAAAAAATCCCATTGTACTTCAAGCCTGCTCTTGGACCATTAGAATCAGARGCTCAAAACCTGCCCAAGTTGCTATTAAAATATCACTTGTATTGAGTAGAGAGCAGWTACTCTGCCTTCATGGCTGCTATGAATTTTTATGACTCTGAAATTCGTTCAGTATTTATCAGCTAGGCTATTATATTCCAGGATTGCCCCAGATTATTTGTTTTGTATTTATCTAAGCCTGAAAAACCATATAAAATATGGCACAGCAAGCAGCCAGCACCTCTTAAATCATATTGGAAAGATTAGGGAAAATAAGGGTGGGGCACAATAATCCACTAAAGCTGAAGGCTTCTGAAGGGTTTTAATAAATCACCAGACCTGTAAGCCAGAAGGTTCAAATGAAATTCAAGCTTTTGAATTAATAACTTAAGTCCATGTTCTGTTATATTTTTGACTGCAACCAAAAAATATTTTCGTCTTCCCCATCCATGATGACTTTTTTTTTTTTAAAAAAAAAAAAAGAGTTATTGCACAAGGATTTCTAGTCTGTAGATCTGCTCAATTGATTTTRTTAATATTTGCTGATTAGGAAGTATTTATCATTTTTAATGTAACTTCTAATTTGTTTCAGGTCCCTTAAGCAGTTATGACATGAACCCTTTGAGCTGAGGATTCTTTACATCCTCCTAAAAATCCATCTTTACAGGTGTGAGGAGCAAAGAGGATTTTGTTCTTTGCCAGCTTCTTTGGTTAAGGAGTACTGAAAATCGGAAGGATTTTACAAAGTCAGTTTATCAAAATGTCCCTACAATTGGCTACTGCTGTATAGAAGAGTAAAACTATTTTGCTTGGCCATTTAGAAAAGACCACAACTGTCTTGCAGTTAGGTACATAGAATTTTTACAAGATTGGCTAAAAGCTTTATAGACTTTGGAGGATTTTAGATGATTCTCTAGGAACAGTTGAGTAGTTAGTTAATTTGCAGTACGATGGACATACAGGTTTTTGTGGAGTTTAATTTTGAGTCATTGCATTAGCTTTGGAAATTGCTTTTTTTTTTTTCTTCTTTTTTTTACAAGGCAAAAGCATAGTCTTCTTTGAGGAACTGGGTGTAGACTTCAGCTCTCACTTTCCTGCTTTGTAGACTCTTGCAAGGCATTTTTGCCTGTTTCATTTCCCCTTTGGTTCCTCTGCCCWTTCAGTTAAAGACTGTCCAAGCAAGGACAATTGGTGAACAGCCAAGCCCCTGACTGCTCAGTGTCATCATAAATACACACTGGTAATTTATATTMTCTGCTTTAAACTGAGATCTTTTGTCACATCAGACCAGTTTCATGAGTCCAGTCTTAGTTTCAGCACTGAAAGGTGCTCTGCTTCTSTTTCTATAAATAACTGCTAAAAACAAGTGCTAGAATGTGTCACTTAGTTMATAAAGGGAATGCCCTTCATGGAATTCCTGTTTATCAACTGCTTATTTCTAGCTTCTGTAGTCTAGGATTTTATCATTCACTGAAATGTGACTCGTGAAAGATAGATGCAGGATTGGAATATGTGACCAGAAGCTTTGATGTTACTATTTTCTTGCTCTCATTTTACCACTGAAAAGTCATSTTCCTTGGTATGGAGAGGGAAAATAAAGGAGGGGAAATGGGAATGTAAACTAAAGGCAGCTGTAGTTAAAATAGGAATAGATTGAGAGGAGGAAGAGAAGATCCAGAAGAAACAGTTCTGAARGTTAAATACCTGCAGTAACATTCTAAATGTCCACAAGGAATGAGGTTTGATGATGAGCTCCCCTCCCATTTGGCATCTGACTGTATTTTCCTTTCAAATCATGTTTAACTGTTCTGTGCCCTTTGAAGGCTTGTRGTAGAGTTAATGAAAAGCAGATTTTTCTTTAGTGTTGTTAGTTCTTCTTGATGTTATTATTGAAGCTGCTGATAAAGGATTGCTGACCAATGTACTGAAATAAAGAGCTTTTTGTCCTGTTCAAAAATAGCAATAGTAACATTCTACTTACTTGGTTAAAAAAAACCAAAACAAAACCAGAACACCCACAGAACAAAAAGCCTCCCACAGTGATGTAAAGAAATRGATTCATTGAAACCATTGCAAAATTTATTCTGCATATAATTAGTGTAATTATTTTGTAGCTCATGCCCAGATGGACATACTTGGGTGATGACAGTTTAGCCACATCCATWTGTGGACTTTGCTATGACTACTGCTTTTGTAAATAAAACAAAAGGATATGATGCATCAATAGTGTTTCTGCTGTAATGGTGAGAGTGGGATTCTGCCAGGTTTCCTTCTTAAATGTCTTAAAACCTTCCACTGGCCTCCTTGGGAGCAAAATTAGTCARAAAGAGGGTTTTGAAAAATCTCAGCAGAAGACTGGTAAATGCTGCAGGATACCGATACTCGCATATGGTATTTGATTTAGTAGCCTTTTTCTTGTGCCAGTGTTGMAGTAGTGCCTTCTGCAGCTGGATGCTCCTTTCTGGGCCTGCAGCTGACTTTAAAGAGTTTCTGGTTTTACTGCTCACTCAAACAGTAATATCACAAGTAGCTTGCTTCCCTGTAAGTGGTGGGATTTATGTTTCCTCTTACTTAGGACAGCAACAAATGTAGTGATTGTTCCTCAAATTAGTGTMTTTTTTCTCCCCCTATAGGAGATTTCAACTATCCCAAGACAAAAGTTCTGCAGAAATGACCTCTTGTCAAGTCACTTTTGAAGTAAAAGGATCATCAGCACCAGGTAATCAAATCATGCTTTCTCCTTTTTGTACGGTTTACCTGAGACAAAACTTAATAGAAAAGTGTTCAGAGGCTGTCATGTCTGTTTTTCCTCAGAGATAAAAGAACTTATTAGTTCAACTATCAAAATGATCAATCATTGTAAAATATATTGAGACATTTCATGTATGAATTTGAAAATGAGAGTTGGGAAATAATTTTTACCKCTTTCTCCAAACAATTTCATAATGCGCTAGAGATTTTGATGCTAACTGAAATGGCTATAATTGGTTTAAAATTTTCTCTCTCTAGTGTGGGAAGGAGCATTTGTATTCTAAACCATATTTAGGCATAGATGTGTTTGTTCTGTTTTTTATTCTCTCTCCATCCCTGTTGAAAGTTCTCCCAAGATGTGACTTCTGTCAGGAGTTAAGAAAGAATATGCAGCTTAATTCAGTATTCTGTCTATGAAAAAAGAAAAAAGTGTAAAATAGCTTATGTAATCAAAATGAAGAAARCAAAGTATCACATCAGGTAAAACATGAAGATTTGGTGTTGATAAATTGTGCWGATTRTGTTGACSTTCATCTTCAGGAGCTTGGAAGGAAGGTGTTGTGRTTTAACCACAGCTGATAACTAAAGTCCACACAATTRCTCCCAACCTCTCGTGTGCCCCCAGCCCCTCTCTGGTGGGGTGAGAGCAGAAAGGGCCTTGATGCTGTGAGCACTGCCCAGCAGTAACTGAAATACCCTCTACTATCAGCACTGCTTCCAGGACAAATTCAAAACACAGCTCCTACTAGCTGTTGTGAAAAAAATTAACTCTACCCCAGCCAAAACCTGCACAGAAGTTCACCAAAAAAGTGATTGATGATTGCCTAACAGAAGCAGATGAATGTGGGAGCAGATGGGCAAAACTCCTGTGACAGGCAAATACCAGATGGCAGAAGTGTCTCCTGTAGTTGGCGGGGAAGAAAACGAATGAAACATTTTACAAATTTTGACATCTGCCCTGTGTTAGACCTTTCCTGTGTTTCTCCCTAGTGATTTGGCTTTTGGGGGCTGAAAACTGACACTCATTGTGGCCGTAAAGCTGTTAATAAGGAGTAGAGTTTTTTAATAGCATTCTGGAGAAAATTTTTAAATTGAAGAGTAAATTGACCTTAGSTCAAGTGAGACTGTACAGCACTGGTGTAGCTGTACAATGGAGTGTTGCAATCTGTCCTGCTGACACTGTTGTGATGGCCCTGTCCCTAGCAAAGTTGACTTTGGATGTACAATTTCTTGTACYAATAATATCTGCAGTGAAAAGCAGGATTAGTGACAGTTAGATCCTGCCTCAGTGGCTGTTCACAAAGAATTATCTGGAAATAATTACAGCATAAAGAGRTGACACAAAAGGTTGCTTTTGCTTATGACAATATTGATATTGTTGGTTCTTTTAAATTATTGTTGGATCAGTGAGGCTGTTGCAAGCTTTGATTTGGGGCAGAAGGCATAGATTAATCTTTGCAATAACTGAAGAAGCTCTGCCAGGAGCAGCCTTGAATTCCATGACAAGGGGAGGGGAGAAGTTGAGCCCCCCTGAGCTTGAAACACAAACCCAACCCAAATCCCTCTGTGTTTAGAATTTTCTATGAGAAGGCAGTTTATCATGAATTTCACTTGTGGTTTACTGGGATAATTCAAGCAGTGTTTTACAAATCCTAATTCAGCCTCAGGGTAGTTGTTGAAGGGAATTTAGGGGTGGCCACAAAYCATATTCAAGTGTTGCCTTTTGTGTGTGGTACCATAATGAGTGAGGGGTGGTCACTGAATGTTCACTCAGGTTTGTTAAAAATAGGAGCCCAGAGAACTTTTCCAGCTGACACCTGTTAAGAAGAATAGAATTAAATGGCACTTCAAAGACTGGCTGTGTGTRCAGTAAGATTTTTAGGTACTGCTATTTTAAAGAGGTTGTAAAATAATTTTAGCTTCTTTTTATATCTCCAGTCAGAAATTCTGCCTATATGGTATTCAGGTGGTCTTCCCTCCCCACTTTATCTCTGCCCTGCTAAAACAAATCCTCRTGTGCCTCAGGATAGGGTGGAAAAGGAAAAGCACCTGACGTAGACAATTGTTTGCAGGGAATTGCCTATTAAGTATATTCATTATGCAGATTTTTGTCTTGGGGGAAAAAATAGTGTACACTTGTTGCATACAGCCTTTTCTACTTTGTGTCTTTGGATTATTGTGTCTCCAACACTGTTGCTTTCTCACTTTGGGGACAGGAAACAACAGTCAGAGATGCTTGGTGCTCAGATCTTTTCTAGTGCTTAACTATACTTKAAAAATCCATATTTTCTCAGCCACAGCTTTTTATTTCTTTTTTCTAAAAATCTTGTAGAAACTCTGCAAGAGCAAAATACTAATTTGTTCTTTCCATTAGTATTTATCATTGTTGYTTTTCTTAGATCCWTRTAAGTTTTATATTAAAAGCAAGRGTAAGTTACAGTGATACCTCTRGGATATCCCAAAATTAAATATACTGTTGTGACCTTTTGGATTCTTTGTGTATGTATGCATTAACAGAAGTGTGGCAATTTCATGTGGTTTTTTTGTGTAGCAATGTTACAKTTTTATATCCAGTAAAACCTGAAAGCACAGCAGCAAAATTAGCTTCATTTTKTCTTGGAAATCAAATGAATTGGATATGTTGTCTTGGGAGTAGTGCTAGCGACCTCCTGTTTGTCTGTGCTTTCTAAATTGTTGGTGTGAATTTGAGAGAATATGTGCATAGATTAAAAAAATACAGAGTATCTAGGGAAATAACTTAAGTTATTTTGACATTRAACATTTTACTGTGAAAATTTGTCTGCTGCATTTCCAGACATGTTTTGAAAAATATTACTTAAAAACAGTTTGGAAGCCAAGCCTTTTAAGGGCTGGGGTTGTCAGTGGTCCCTCTTTCAGATCCTTAGGATGGTGAAGAAAATGCTGTTGTAATTTTGGGTGGGGTAAGATTCCTTTCTAAATGGACAGGAAGGATTTTAGATGAGTGGTTCTGGTGTATGTATTTAAAATACTTGAAAGTTTGACTGTGTAGGCTCTTTTTAATGCCATATAGCCTGGGGTGGTGATGATTGTGGGTTTTTTGTTTGGATTTTTTTAGGAGAGGTTTTTGCAATATGTGGGAGCTGCAGTGCTTTGGGAAATTGGAATCCCCAAGTGGCAGTGGTCCTCCAGACTGAGGATATGTAAGTTGGTTGTGATTTTTTGGTTTTATTCTGTGGATTTTTTTTCTTCTGTTTTGCATTTTTTTACTTGTTCTGTTTGAAATAGCTGGAGTTCTTGAGCAATGAATTTATTCTGACTTTGAGTTTGTAAATGAATTTATTCTGACTTTGAGCTACACGTACTCCAGAATACATGTAGTAGAACTCCAGAATTTCTTGTGTTGCCCTTGAGCATTTTGAATACTTAGCATTATCTTTGAAAAAATGTTCAACTTCAGGGTGCTTTTCTGGTTACAGATGATGCTTCTGCTGTTGTGGCTGACATTTCAGTAGTTTAGCTGTAGATACTTGAAATTAGAAACTGCTTTGGGGCCATTCTCAGTCCCATGGCTGTGCAGCAGGTTATAGGAGATGYATAGGATAAAAAGAAAATAAAGACTATAAAAAGGTAATTATTGTGCTAGAAAGTGATGGGGAGTTTATTTAAACTGGGARTTGCATTAAAACTCTTAAAGCAGGRGGKATGTGTGTATAAGCAAGAGTATACATAAAGAAAGTTTAAATGCAGTGCAAGAATTCAGTATTTTCTTAAAATGGTGCCAGCTTATGGCAGCTTGTGTGATGCAGGAAAAGAGGGCTTGCAGGCTGTGTTTGTAATTCTGTCTGTGACTTGCTGTGGGATCTTGGATGGGTCTCTGAATTACTTCATGTTTTCCCCATCTGTTAAAGGGGGATGCAAATTCTTGCTCTCTTGGAGCACTTCAGATCTGTCCATCAAAAAGTGCAGTTTCAGTTCTAAGTATATCTTATGTTTTGTGCATGTTTGGCTGAGGTACTTGGTAATAACTTTCCATGAATCAGTACACTAGAGTTTATTTTAGAATATCACTTACACAATTATCTGAGGTGGCTCTTAGACTGTATTTTGAAAATTTTGGTTTTGGTTGGTTGTTGTATTTTTTTTTTTCTCCGCAGTACAACTGTGAAAATATGGAAAGCTACTGTAGAGCTTCCTAGAGGAGTTCCTGTTCAGTATCGRTATTTTAAAGGATACTTTCTAGAACCTAAGGTATGTACAACCTTTTCTACTTCAAGTTGGCTCATCCCTAGTAAACATTCCCATATTTGAAATAAAAAAGGATTTCCTRTGTTAAACATGAGTTATTTTAGAAATAAGCCTTAAATTGCAACATGTGAAACATTAAAACACTTGTGTACATACTCACAGTTCACTTCTGGAAATACATGACCATATGCTGTTAACTTTAATTATGTTCTTTCTTTTACCAGTGTTAGTGTTCTAAAAATTTCAGTGATTAAAAAAATCCCTGATATTAATATTAAGCTTAAATAATTTGGTGAAATTCTYATAGTTAGAATTGGAATTCCAACAGAACATGGATCTCAAGTGATCCATGGAAGGAATGTGATAGAATATATCTATAGCTTCCATCCTATATGATGGGATGGAAGCAAGTGATAGTAGGAGAAAAATAGTTAGTGTAGGAGGTGCATTAACATTTGCCTGATCTACTACAGTTTTTAAAATGACTGCAGATTTTTTTGGTGAAGCATGAGAAGTATTAACCAGATTTTGTGCTGCATAATTAACGTAAGTTAATTTCTTGTGGTGAAAAGGTGAAATAAGGGATGAGGCATCCCATTGTTTTATGTATGTTTGCATGTAGGTATTTGCACAACTTGGAGGGGAAAAAGCTACCCAAGAGACAGAGACAGATGTGTTTTTCCAGGTATTGATGTCAAAGTTGCATATGACTAGAAGTTACATAAGTTAGAGTTAAATGTGAGTGGCAGTGTACTGGTCTGTAAACACTGCACCAGGATAAGGGGAAGCTCTGCAGATGGGATGAGGCTGCATCCAGGAAAAAGTTGGGAAAATAAGCAGCTACTCTTGAACTGTTCTTCTTAATATCAAGTAATAACTTGAAAGAAATTTAATACTTCCTTTGCTGTCTTTCTTATTCTGTTAATATCCTGTAGCTTTTCAGCCTGGGCTTTAGTTCCTCATTGAAACTGGGATTGTGAAGGCTGTAGTTAAATGTGCAAAGGAGTTACAGAATCATCTCATCAATATCTTTTAAATATTTCAAATTACTGTCAAGAGCATGTAAGTTTTTGTCAGCCTTTTTTTCTACTAAAAAATACTTGGCTGAGGTATCATTTCAGTGAAGRATACTAATTTCAAATGAAACACAATTCTGTTTTTTTCATTGCAGCATGTGAAATAGTCTAGTCAGAAACTGGGCTTTAAATTGGTACTTTGGGGCAAAAAAAAGGGAAGGCCAATAATAGACTTCTTTTGCTGAGGTCAAACTGAGGCCAAAAGTAGATCAATTCTTACAGCCTAGCAGCTCTATTGGGATTCTTACATTTTTTTGCTTATGCCCATAAGTTTAAATRTAAGCAGTAACACATTTGAAAAAGCCAAACTAGTGAGCAGAGATTAAGCCATAGACAATAGACAATAGAATTTCTGTTTTACCATTTGCCAAAGTTTACCCTCTGTATTGGTGAGTGTGTTTCTTTGAGTAGGTGCTCTGTATCGTGCACACTTTTTGTACCGTGTGATGCAGAGTCTGCCAAGGTAAGTATGAATTTTATGCAATACCAGCATAAAGAGCTACTGTACATAGAGAGCAGGAAAAAAGGAAACCACCCTACAAAACAAAGTATGGGATTTCCTGGGGTGCAGGGTTATCCACTTAGTGTGTCTGGCTTGTACYTGTTAAGTGCACAGGATTTTAATTTCTTGCAAAACAAAATCTTTGGAAGCAAAGAAATCCACATACAATGTTTTCTCCCTCTTTTTGTAAACTTTTTGAAGAACCATGAAAACGTAACAGGAATATCATGTACAGTGTAGTGAAGATGAGACAGTATATGGAGAACTTCAGCATTAAGGAAATGCTGAAAAGGGAAAGATACTTCTAAGTTAAATTGTTCTGAATATTTTTATTTCAGTATTCTTTCCCTTAGACATTGCATGTAATTAATCTCCTGAAGTTGACAAGCTTGCAGTATATGATCTCTGATGCTTAATTTTTTATATCAGTGCAATTTGATGTGTAGTAAAATAAGTGTCATCTTAACTKTATGTTCAAGTCTGAGTATATGAATTTGACATCCCATAATTAGTAAATCATGCTGATGACAGATCCACCTGAAGTCAGACTTCCCTTCTACAGCAACTGTATCTGTGAAGATGCTGGAGTTGGACRTGGTGACAAAGATGAGGGTGATATTTGTTTGCACAGAGAAATGTTCCCAGATTATCCATAGTAGTGCTACAGGCTAGATGTGAAAATAGAATAACTGACATTTTATTTAAAAAAAAAAAAGTATTTTTCTCACCTCCCTTTAAAAAGACCACCATTTGATCTTAATTTTTTTTTACTTGAAGAACAGTATAATATAATGGGAAWTCTCTTTTGTTTGTACTGAAGCATGTTGGTGTTAACATGGTTGGGGTTATGCTAATAGAGCAGGTTTTTATTTTAAATACTAAACACATTGAAATTCATAGAATTTTTACATGAATACAAATTTATATACAGAGAACATTTTACTATAACATTGGTGCCAGGTCTTGGCTCCTGCCTATCAAGACATTTTACTATTTTGTAAACATTTTGATTTTAAGCATTTAAAAAGAAAAATAAATACACACACTTGATGAAATAACACGGTAACTTAAACTATTTTGTTTGAGGTTGTTCTTTCCATAAACATAATCTGGTACCAGTGAGCTCCCTGTGAGGATCTTCCTGRGTTTTATTCTACACTCACTTTCTGTTAGTGAGGCACAGAGGGGGTGGGTTATGAGGGGCTTTGTGAGATTCACCAGAACTCCCTTGGCTGGAATTTTTCTTCTATCTTATGTTTTAGAAGAATAATTTTACATGCAATGTTTGCATGATGCATATTTGAAAAGCTTAATAAGGTACACACTTTATTCTGTTAAGTTATGCTCTGTTTTTGCTTTTAAAACAGTAATTAAGCATGCAAGTTCAGGGTTTCTTCTTCCAAGGCAAGTGTGGAAGAACTAAGATATCTCTGCATGTWGCAGGACTTAAAAAATTGGATTGGTGAACTCTTTTCATACTTGCTGATAATGGTTTCAAATGAGAGTTAAATTTACTTTCTTGAAATGTAAGTAAATAAATCCAATTAGTGCCTGGACTGGAGTAATAAAGRTGAAACTTAAACCTAGATTTAGTAATTAATATCAGAATGCCTTAGAAAGGCTTTTTCTAGATTGAGAACCCATGGTCATCCTGACAATAACAAAGGCATTATTATGTGCTGAGATAGAAGATTGTGTGTTAAACTGTTATTGGAAATACTGAGCTGTAAAATCTGTATTGAGCTCAGCMCTTCCTGCAAGGTGACTTTTATGTGCTGTTGCCTTGCAAGTTAGATGTGATGGCTGAATGGCTTGATTTATTTATTTTAGTGCTTAATAATTATCTTTTACATGATACAGAAATCCAGAGAGATTTTGGTCAGAAATGCAGCTTTAGCAATTAAGTCTAATTTAGCTGTTTCATATTATTGAAGAAGATCATTATTCCTGAAACATAGTTTTAATTAGTAAAGTGCACTTGGATAAATGTGTTTGTGTGGTGTTTTTAAGATTTGGTTTGGGTCCCCCCCACTCCCATGCCTACTTTATTGTGCAGCTTTGAATCAGGAACCTTGGAACTGATCTCCTAAATTGCCATTTAAACATCCACAGAAGTGTTTTCACTCTTTAATTGTACTGAGTACCCAAGCACTTCAAGCAGATGGTGCATCTGCTTTGAACTCTGAACCATTATGCTTGATAGCATTTTACCCTTAATTTCAAAAGTGCCTAATGACTGCTGGGGAGGCCCCAGCTTCTCTTAGTRTAAGAGGACTTGATCTTTAAAGAAAGTTCTTGAATGTCATTTAAAAGCTTTAAAATTGCATGAGATGCTCAGCTAATGACATCAAGCAATATAATGTTTGTGTTGGCTTTAAGAAAAATGCAAATGTCTGCATTAGTAGAAAAGGATCCACTGTACCACTTAGCTCAGTGTGCTGCCCAGTGAGATGCTTAGTGTGACATTTGAATAGATGCCCTTTTAACACTGTCCTACAGAGACTCTTTTGAGGTAACATTACCATATTATGAATATTGATGGYGCCTCATTTAGTTCTGCTGCTCACTGGGCTGCTTTTCAAATGTGGTCAGTATATRCCATGGAAATTACATTGCTATTTTAACCTCGTTGTAACAATGGTTTMTGTTACATGTAATTAAAACATTATTTAAATGCCTATAAACTCAGAGATGGTCTGAGCAGGGATTGAGAGGGTTCTTAGTTATGCCTGTGCTTGTTCTCTAATCCACTGCCCTTTTTTTCCAGGTAGCTTTGCTTGGCTCTTCTTAGTATGGAAAGTGTTAAGGGTTCCTGGCATTAAATGCAGTCCATTGTATTCCTTTCAGGAGATGAAATTGTCCTGATTATATCCAGCATGGTGTCCATGTTGTTGGGATAATATTATTCAAATTCATTAATCATTTTAGAACCAAAATTTAAAATGGACAGTTACAATAAATTGGTATTTTCATACACTGTATTGGAAGGGGTTACAAGAAGAGCCTGTGTTTGCCTTTTGAAGAAAACAGTTTAATTTGTGTTAGGAAGATTTGCATAGCCCAATTTCACAAACAAAAGTTGTGCACGTGTTCCTGGGAGGTGCTGTGGGAGATCTTGCATGCCTGCACGGTGGGAGTAGATGGCAGCCTTCCTGCTGACAAACATGGCTTGCAGCTTTAGAAACTGTGACAAGCAAGTGTCAGTGTGCTSTGAAAGAAGGGAAAAGAAACTTCTCATTGTTTACTTTTCTAGAGATCCTACTAATGGTCCTTGTGGCAGCAGTGAGAAGCTGGGAATTAAAATTGCCCTATAATAGGAATAAATTGAAAGCAGTAATATAATTTTGTCTATATTTACATGCATTCTGTCTTTAGAACGCAACTTTGGGCATATGTGTTTTATTCTGACATGACTCTTTTAAGTATGAATGCCTCTGAACTCGTTGGGAAAATTGCTTTAGCTACAAYTCACAGAGAAACATGTCTTTACTGAGAGCACTTGTTAAATATTTGGTATTAGCTGTTAACTCACCCAAAAGCATGGTAGATTAAATGTGTTCARTGTATGTCAAGTAATCCCATCTGCATGTAAAGAATTTAAGTGAGCTGTAATAGAACAAAGCATTACAGTCCTGTGTAATTACATTGCTGAATTTGAAGCTTGTCTGGATGTCCCTGTGGATATGAAATCTATTTAAACAAGAACCTGAATTCTGCTACAAGCTGGCGTTGAAACTTCCATGTCATTGGCAATAGGAGCGAGTCTTTTTAGAAATAAGAGTTACTTAGGCCCTAAACTCCAAAATGACAAACTGGAGCTATTTGACAGTGGTTTTTACATCTGATAGTAACAACTGTGCCATGCTAAGGGAAACTTCTTTGGGTGATTGAGCTGTGAATCAGGCATGTTCTTTCTGGTTTTAAGTTGTGGTTACGTAAAAGCTTTTACCCAGAAAACTATTTCAAGCTCTAATTGTTCTGAAAGAAGAGATTGTGTTATTGTTCTGCATATCTGTCTGAGTYGTGGCTATATTGGTCAACAAACGTCTTTTAGTGGACAACAATATTTCTTTTTAATGAAAGAATTAATTTATACTGCTTCAGCTGTAATAGGCTGCAGGGTCTTCATTGCTGGCTGATTGGATCAATTATTTATATTTTAATTAGATGGTAAATAATTTGCTCTTCCATACCACAGCTAAAATAACTGTGTTTAAAGTCTTTGAATTCAGTTAGGCAAATTTTGAAGGAGAACCCACCCCTGCAACTGCTATGTGCATGAGTACATGCTGAGTGCTGTTTGGAATTAGAGATGTGGGGCATGTTTTTCCATAAACTGTTGCTGTTGCTTGAGAGCAGTGAGCACTCTCAATGAGTTCAGAGACTTTTTGTATCAAAAGGAAACTAAAGTAGTCCAGTGGAGTATCTGTAAGCACTAAAGGTTTGATGGTTYCATGTAACTTCTCAGCCATGTCAGACTGTCACAAGTTTTGTCATATGTATTCACAACACATCAAATAGAGTCATCAGCAGTTGCAGGGGTAAGAAGCCTCATCTGTTTTCTTTCTTTCTCCTTCAACCTCTCTCTCTCTGTTCCCCTCTCTCTCTTCTTCTTCTCTTTCTTTTTTCTTAAATCTCTAAGTTTAGCTCACGACCATCCCAAACAGCTTCATGGGTACAAAGTCAGATCTAACAAAAGAAATTATTGCAGAMATTTAACTTTTAAATTACAGACTATCGATGGTCCCTGCGAAGTCATAGTTCACACGTGGGAGACTCATCTACAACCACGATCAATTACCCCTTTAGGTATGGGCATCAACTGCATCTGTTTGAGGCATATGCATAAGATTGCTGATATGCTGCACACTGGTTTAGAGGGATTGATAGCTATAGTTGTAAAATACTTAAATTTATTAATGTGGGGGAGGTATAGAATTTTTCTTTGCACAACATGGGCCTTACTCTCAAAATTTTATATATGTGTATATATATAAGTGGCTTCAAAATGGAGTGGATGTGAAATTGTTTGCTGTCATCCTTAAGATTATGTGGGCTGGTTTTTTTATTAATTTGGAATGGTAATAAATTTCTGTAAGCTTAATTCTTTGAGACTAAGGATCCATATTATCTTTTTTAGAGAAAATGGGGGAGGGTATGAAGTCACTGTTGTTTTTATTTAAGTATAATTTAGAAAGTAAAATTTTAAACCAAAATGTTTAATTAGGCTTCTTTAAGTAAATGGGTTAATGTAAATAGAAATGTGAGTGGACTTATTTACCCGTCAGTTTAGCAGAAATGTATTTTGCTGAAAGAAAGGGTGGCATGCAGACTTGCATAGAAGTTACTAATGCTTTTGTGRACGGGGAAAAAGTTTGGGCTTTAAGAGTGACTGAAATAACCTTTGAATGTAGCTTGTAGTTTAGATCTCYTATGCTGCTATGGCATGTTTTATGCACTGTCTTTTCTAGCACATGAAAAATATGATTTTCTCCACACTTAGAAGTTCACATTTGTTAAAAACTTTCTGATGATTTAAAAAATGTCTTTTAGTAACAAGGTGGTATCAAAGAAACTGTCTGTTAGTTGTGAATAGCACCATGATCACATTTGTTCTCCCTTTGCCTCTTTTTTAAAAATTTCAGTTGAATTAGTTGTGGYTTTATTCCTGGAAGAAGATTATTTCTGTATTTGTCAGTAACTGATAAGGGAAGCAGCCTATCCACTGTTAGGGCCTAGACTTTATCTCTAAATTTAGATTGCCTCATTCCAAGCAGTTAGGATTCCTTTTTCCCCAAGTAATACTCAATTCTTCATAAGCAGTTTTTAAGGAAATGCAGCAAACACACTGTGTTAGCACTGGGTCATTATGATCCCAAATTGTTGCCTGTGCTTATTAGAAGATTAGGTTAGGAGGCCTATTATTCCTCTTAGGGGAAAAAAAAGGGATTAATCACTGCAGAGGCAAAATGATTTATGATTTGAGATTTATGTTTTGAGAAATGTGTGGTTTGTTTAGGCTATGGCAGTTCTGTTAATGCTGGTGAATTTACCTATTGCCTTAAGATTATTAAAGCTTTGGAAAGAGTAAGGGTAAAAGTGAGTGTGAGCTGAGTGTTTTGAGTATTTCATGCTAGGTTGATTTCTGTCATGTGGACAGAATAAGCATTTTAATTGTGATTAACTCGATTTAAAAGCTTTTATTATAAATCTGCAGCAGGATAACTTTCTTGTATGTTTGCAAGAAACTTTAATGTCTTTGATGTTACTTTGACAAGTGAAGCATCTTAGATTCTAGTAGGATGTAGATATCAGCAAAATATTGCAGCAAGCCAGAAAATTATGCAGCTTTTTTTTTTCTCTTCTCAGTTCAGATTACTTCAAGTGAAATGTGGCATTTTGTGTGTCGTTCTTTTTGTGCAGAAACTAAGAAAAAAGCATAAATTGGGATAAATCTTTATAGAAGGTTGCAAAAAACATGCTACTTTGTCTGTTTCAGTTTTCCTACCTTTTTTAGATATACTTTTTATAAGTGAAGTGGAAAAGTAGAATTAATTTAACTTGGCAATGATTTTTTTAAAATGTGGATACTAATTAGTTCTTTCCATTCTTTTCCCTTCCTTTTAATTTTAGAAAATGAAATTGCTGTCGACGATGGATGCTTTGGAATCTGTAGTAAGTGAGATACATTAACCTTTATTCTATACCATGAATTTAATTTAAACAAGGTTAAGTCTTGTAATTGAAAAATASTTGAAGTTACAAGTTTTGAGAAGAATTGCCTATGATTGCTTTCTGTGCTTTTACAGCTATTTTTRTGTCCATCATTTGTCCATTCACACTCAGGCTGTTACCCCTTGAAATGTCTGTAAAAGACTGCTGTGATGAGTTGAAGTGTTGTTGCTCTGATGATGTTAAAAGTTGAAATTTGGAAATTTTTAATCATGAGCATGTATTTTTGGAAATACCGAATAGACTTTATTTTAATACCTAGCCWTAGAAAAATGCTTCATGCTTAGAAAAACACAATCACTCAAACTGAATGTTCCCACTCTGCCTCTTCTGTTAGAGATGGAACTGTTAAAAAGTTCTCTAAACCCACACAAATGTCTGGCTTCTGGCAGTTCTGACCCACCTCTCACTTAATGTTCAATCCTTGGACACTTAAGGTGACTCTTTATCACCTCATCTTTGTCTCATACATCTTGTCTTCAAGCTATTCCATTTTCCCCTCATATCCTCATCAAATGATGGGTTTGGCTCTTTAGGAACTCATCAAAAATGTGGGCTTTGCTTCAGCACTTGGTTTGCAACTTGTGTTTCTGGTCCTACTGCTTGTAGGCTTTCCTTGTTTTGATGTTCAGGTTGAGGATTCTCCATGCTTTCCATAAAAACTGTTGCTGTTCCCTGTCCTGCAGACTTGCACTGATTWTGATGAGCTAATTGGGCACCTCTATCTAAACAGAAACAGGGAGTTTCTAATTGTTTATGAATCTTCAGAGTTTCTGCCACTATTATTCCTTGTATTGGGAAATCCCAGGACAAGGGAATGTTACTCCTGCCTTTGGAGGCTTAACTTAGCTCTTGATAGCATAAATAGAAAATTAACACTGGAATAGTCAGTGCTGTCCTGCAGACAGTTTACACATGATCATGCTCCTGTTTAACCCCCTTAAAATCCAGCAAACAACTGCAGCATCTATTGTCTGTTCTGGATCTTTCCAAAAACCTGGGGAAAGGCTGCACTCAACAATTGCTCTTGTGTTAATGTAGAGTAAGGCTGGTGATAAGGAGGATTATCTGGAAGATGATGGCAAGAGGAACTGTCTAGGTCTCCCTAAAATAAGTYACTAAAATGTCTTCTCCTTTTTGTTTGATTTTTGGTAGATGGTATTGAAACTGTGGATGCTGGGTGGCTGACGTGTCAGACAGAAATTAGGCTACGTTTGCATTATTCTGAGAAACCCCCTGTACTGATATCTAAGAAGAAATTTAAAACATCACGGTTTAGGTAAGWGCTTTCTTGTTTCAGTGTGCAATTTACCTCATGTTAATTGTCAATAATAGTGGAATTTTTTTTAAAACTTAATTAATGTAGCCTTTAATTTAGGTTTGCTAATAGCCTGATTTCCAAGYAGTAAAGCACAAATACTTGCTCCATACTTGGGGTTTCTTGCTTTTTGGCTGGAACTTTAGTGTTCTTAGGCTTTTATTTAAATCAGGTTGATGCTTTTCTCTGCAGAGATGCCTCAAAAAGCAGGCATTCTTRTAACTCTCCAGTTAATTGTCAGAAATGGGTATCTTAGCCCTGGTGTTTAGAGGACTGCACCGTTGCACACMGTGGATGAGGATTTGGCTGGATGGTTGCTCTGGGTGTTGTGGTCAGCAGTTTGATGTCCAGGTGAGGACCAGGGCTGAAAAGGGACCATGGACAAAGGCCTGGAGTGACAGGGCAAGTGAGAATGGCTTTAAACTAAAAGAGGACAGGATTAAGTAGATATTAGGAAGACAATCTTTAGTGTGAGGGTGGTGAGGTACCGGCACAGGTTGTCCAGAACTGTAGTTGCCAAATCCCTGGAGGTGTTCAAGGCCAAATTGGATGGGGTTTAGTGGAACCTGGTCGAGTGAAAAGTGTCCCTGCCCACACAGCAGGGGGTTAGTACTACATGATCTTCAAGTTTCCTTCCAACCCAAACCATTCTGTGACACTTGATTTCTTTCTTTTTTTTTTCAGTTTTGATTTGATTCCCTCTCCCACCAATTCCAGGTTTTCTGATGAGRGGAAGCTTTGTTTAATGACACTCTTCAGTGAGATTTAATACTTACATTGTGCTCTCTACAGCTTTGCCTTTTYTCCTTGTATGTTATAGCAGGTAGAGAGATCAATTTCTGAAGMCAGCTTCTTGTCCAAATTAAATGTCTGGAATAAAACTTGATAAGCTGGATGCATTCACTGAATACTCTGTCCTAAAAATTTGGATCTGTCCAGTACTTTCTGTGGCTGTCACTTGGTATGGCAGTGTTGTTTCTCAAATTTCTGGAGTACCTGTCTTGTGACTTATTTTTTAATGAGAGTATTAATAGTGTGGACTTGGTGTAAGGTTTCTATAACTGTAATTATTTCTTTGAGGTATGACTTCAGTTTTACTGGTGAATTGGCATCTTTTGATAATCCTTTATCTCAATCTTCTGTCTATGATGCAGGAAGGGATTTGGGTTACTCATGTATGCTTATACCACTGACATAACTCACTTTATGTGGAAGGTTTGCTCAGTATGATAAAGGATTTTGAGCCTTATGGAGAGGCTTTTGCCTCTCAGTCCAGGATTTTTCAGGAATCACATTCAGTTTAAATGCTCATTTAGGATTTTTCAAGGAACTTAATTACTTCAGTATTACTTRTCTGCCTTATCATAGAAACATAGCAGCAGCCATCAAAATTTGAGTTTTGATCTTGATGATTACTGCTGTTTTCAGTGCTTTTCATTAGGCTGTTGGCATTATGGGTATTAATCTGTACAGGAAGGCTGMCAAATAGTCTGGTGGAGTGCTGCTTCTCAGACCACTAGTACAGTGGTCGTATTTAGCCAAGTTCAACTTTTAGCAGTGACTTGAGCACTGAAATCTGACTTAAATATGATTTTGACTGGCTGCAAACCCAGTGCTGTTCTGTGGATGGTGGTGGTGAAACAATTCTTATGTTGTATGAGCTTCTGCTTGAGCTTCTTTCTAAATCTCCTACCGTTTGTAAAGACCCTTCAGTGACTTAACCATTTTGTTTTGTGTTTGTGGTTGAGCAGAGTAAAACTGACCCTAGAAGGCCTAGAGAAGGATGATGAAGAAGAGACCCAAGAGAAGACATCCCCTACTGTCCCTCAGAAAATGGCAAACACAGTGGAGTTCTCCTTAATCAGTGACAACGACTACAAATGTCGGCAYTCTCAGCCTGACTCTGGCTATGCTCTGCAGCCAGACAGATGGATAGAATACACAATACAAACCATGGAGCCTGATAACTTGGAATTAATATTTGATTTTTTTGAGGTATGTCTCTTTATCCCTAAGAATCAACTCTCCTGTTTGGAGCTTGAGTCAGTTATTGTGAAGATTTCACTGTTGAAACTGGGCTACTGCCTGAGATTGTTGATCTTTAKGGTTTGCTTACACAAACTGAGACTGCTGACTCTCAGCTCCTTTTGTGAGTCTTCTTGATGTGACACAGAAAGCCTTTCAGTTCTGCTTATTTAGGAAGCAGTACAAATTAGACTTGAATCATTGTGTGCAGTATTGCATGTTGTTATACTTCTCCTGCTTGAACCTGAACAATGTGTATATAAACTGGTTATATCACAATTTCTGAATCTAAATTTTTTCATTTTAAGCAAAGGAGATTTCTCTGAACTAACTAGTGCAAATTAAAACTGGATTCTCACTACTGTGTCTGTTATTTTGCAATATTTTTTGCCCTGGAAGATCTTGGTATTTRAAGTTCTTTTCAAAAGAAAGCAGCTTATGCAGAATAGAATTTTTGAAGCATTCTCTTTTTGGTTTGAAAAAGCCTTCAAGATCACTTACAGTAGTAATTKTGAGTGTCTGCATAGTTCCTGAACTTGATTATGGTCAAGTGCACATTCTGCCTATTAGTTCTTCCCTGCACATGCATACAAAGTTTTTTAGCATTTTAAGCATATATATCTTTGCAGTTAATTTTTRTTCTAAACATGGCTTGGGCATTTTAGAAGACAGACTATTCCATGCATGTAATTTTAGTCTGAGAAGCTTGTCAAATATAAGGGATGTCAAAGACAARTTTGAGTTTTGTAGATTTCTATCAGTATTTTAATATTCCTGATAGTAATTTGTAACTTGCTGTTACAAAAAAAAAAAGTTTTAACCTGAAGTTAATGTTTTCTATAACACACAAGAAACTTGTGTTGTGTCCTGAGGAGCAAGGCAGAAGAGATTCTTTAGAATTCTCACATCTAACAGTAGGGGTTTTGGGTTTTTGTTTGTTTTGTTTTTATAGGAAAATTTAGGTGAGAAGGTAGTACAAGATGATGTGCTCCCAGGTCATGTAGGCTCTGCCTGYCTCCTGTCATCCACAATTGCAGAACTCGGAAAGAGTGCTGGAATTCTTACACTTGCTATTATGAGCAGAAATCCAAGGAAGACAATTGGAAAAGTTAGAGGTACAGTTGATGCAAACAACAGATGTAGATAACTTTAYTCAAAGCYATCTGCTGTTTACTGACATGTGAAACATTGGTGTTTTTCTTGCAGTGGACTACATAATCATTAAACCCATCCAGGGATACAATTGTGATATGAAGGCTTCGTATGCAAAATACTGGAAACCAAGAACAACTCTAGATGTGGGACACAGGGGAGCAGGAAATTCTACAACAACAGCTAAGTAAGTTTGCATTTTAAACTGGGGAGATTATTTGGTGTCACTGACATCAGCTGGGGAAGCAATGAGCCTAAAAAGCTTCAACCATATTCATTTACTTCAAGTATCAAGTTGTGGGTATTCCCTAAAATAAAAATTTCTGATTTGTATTTCTGTTGTTTCAATGGACTTCTGTGCTGCAGCTAACAAMCCCTTTTTCTTGGCTGTTTCAGACTTGCTAAAGTTCAAGAGAACACCATTGCATCCCTGAGGAGTGCTGCAAGTCATGTATGTACACACATTTTCATACACACAGCACCTGTGGAGTGCAAACTAGGCTGGCTTGTATGCTTAATATGCATGATTCAATACAGTGAATGGTAAYTGCACTGATGGAAATTAGATCAAATCACTGTGGAAATTGCCTGGGTAATGGGAAGTTAATAGTAGGTTGGACTCTCATTCTCAAGTCCCTTAAAAAAAATCTGAACTTCCATTTAGTATATTCTGGTGATATTCTAATACTGGGGGAATTTTAATCTCAACCCTGTACAGATAATTTGAAGAAATGAATAAAATTTTGGCACTGCTAGAGTATGTCAGCATGCTCTCAGGTGGCAAAGGTCTTGCTCAGGGACTGCAGTGTTCCAAAACTTGCTGTCTGAAAATGTGACTTGGGAGCTGAGCTGGTAGAATAAACTAAGCCTTGTTTTGGTGCTTGCTACACTGAAAACTTGGAATCCTAAGATAGAACTTGCAGTTTGGGAGATACCAACTCCTTGTGCCTAAATTCTGTGATGAGGTGGTTGCTTTTAACCTTGATCACTGAAGAGCAAAGGAAAACAGTGCCTGCTAAATTACTGTTTTGAACAGTAGTTCTTAATCCCTGAGTGGACACTGCAGGTTTATAGACAACTTTTAAAATGCTCACAGGAAATATGCACTGAGGCAGAAATTGGCTGTGAAGTCATGRGCAGCATCACCATAGATGTGGTTTTCAGCTTTTCCATCTGCAAATAGATGAAAGCACAACTCTGAAAATAATTCTGCTGAGAATAGGGCTGAAAAAAAACATGTCCTATTTTGTCTCCGTGCTGATTGAGAAAGTGTTTGTGTCAGGGTGATAATTTGATGAATGGTATTGTTGGAGGCTTTTCAAAGGATTGATTTGCAGACAGTCAATGTAACTAAAAAAACCTCGAATCTCTTAGTGTGAATTTCTCTTCTTTTCTGGCCCTCCCTCTTGTCCCAGAGGCTGTACTTAGAGCTTTTGAACTTTTCTTCCTTTTCTAAAGCCTAAGAGAAAATTGCATACAGCTGAAAAGGGCAGGAGAATACTGAATACATCTATTTCTGCTCTTGCCATATGACTTCACACTGCTACTGTGTTACTCCCTGGTGACTCCAGAAGTTTGTTGCTCTATGGAATATTTCCTAAAACCTTGGCAATATGGAGCCATCACTTGTCTCTTGGTGTGGTGGTGGGGAGGAGGGAGGAAGATGCCTCAAAGGCATCTATGTTTAAAACATCTGCATCTAAAAATATCATCTTAGCCTTTCTCTGTAATCAGAATTGAATCTTACTAAAGGGTTTACAAGATTAAGCAAGATAGATACATATATACATATATATATATGAGCTGTATTATGGTAATTAAGATAATTTGCCATATGATTTTTTTCATTATTAATTCATTGCTGAGCATGCTTTAACTGGTAATAGCCAGTTGTATTCAAAGTTTGCCTGATGGTCCAGGACCTGAATATTGACAATAYCTACATGCAGTTCTGTAGTCCTTGTGCCTAAGCAGTTAATGAGGTTTTGTTTTGTTCAATTTTCTGTAGGGAGCAGCATATGTGGAATTTGATGTACACCTTTCCAAGGATCATGTGCCTATAGTATACCACGATCTCACGTGTTGCATGGCCATGAAAAAGGTAAAGAAGATCATATCTGTATTTTATTTATAAACACCATTCCAGAAACCAAAATGCCAAGCTCTCATAGAAATAATTCTGGGGACTTGAGGGATGGAATGGCAATAAATTTGCAGCATTGCATTGTACAGAAAGTAGAGCAAGGAAGTTGAGTTCTTCCTTTGGATGTTGAAGCAACAGCATTTCAGATGCATGGTTTGGGACTCTTCAAGCCTACATTATAGTTATTATTTATCTTCTTTCACCTAAGATTTGGAAGAAAAAAACAGACAACACCACTATATTCAGTAGTGCTATAGGAATCCCTTAGACTCAAAACTGACCATTTGCATTCTGTGCTGTTCTGGTTATCTTCCCTCCTGGTTSTGGCAGTGAAACCAGAGACAGAGAGTGTGGCAGAGCACACTGCTGTGTTTTCTTGGCACTGAGTYTTGTGTCTTCAAACACTCACACCCATGGCAATGTTGCAGTCTGTAGGAGGCTTGGGTTTTGAACAGTAGTGGAAGTGAAACTTTGACTGAGGGAAATGAATATTCAGTATCTCTTGACTCAGCGTTGTCTTGCTCTGTAAAAATTTCTTAGTGAAGAGGGGAAGTATGAAATGCACARAATTTTTCTGAAATTAGGTCTTTGTTTTGGGAGTGGATTGTCTCTCAGTTTTACTACAGGACATTTATCTCTTCTAAATTAGTTTCTGAAACAGTGGATAGACAGCAGTAAACTGAACTGCCTTGGAGTATTTTTTACTGCATTTCTTGCAGACATCTTTCCTGAATACTTTAACAAACAAATTTTTACAGAATAATTATGCTAACGTTTTGAATGAGAAGAACTTTAAAGCCTCTGTCTGATTTTCATGAAAGAACGTTTTCTTCAAATTGACACCTGGTTTATGCTTTTAAATTACTGTTTGTTCTCATGTAAACTGTTCATCTTAACATACAAATGTATTTTTATCAAGATACAAAGTACAAAAGATGAAACATTGTTGCCTTTAGTGCTACTGTATAAAAAGTGTAGGCTTTTTTGTTGTTTTCACTGATGCTTAATTATGTGTTRTTTCTCTTCAAAGAAACTGGATACAGAGCCTGTGGAACTGTTTGAGATTGCAGTCAAAGAGCTCACATTTGATCAGCTGCAGTTACTGAAGGTATTGTTACCTTGGCTTGTATGGTGTGCTATGTGTAGGATTTCAAATTGTTCATGAAGCTTAGAGGTTTTGGGACTAACCAYAGATAGCTTTGGAGAGCACAGTTTTTGAAATTATATAAATAGAGCAATCAAATAATTCCAAGAAAATACTTCAACATCATCATTACAACTTGGATGGATTTCATTACTTTTATCTTCTAGAAATATGGTATCTAATTTTCCAATGTTGAAAGGACTAAGTTTAACTGCTGTACCTTCCAAACAATAGTGCCCTGTCTACATAAAAAGAGTCAGGGGATAACTGGGCTGCTGAAGACCCTGCAGAGATACCTGTCCTCAGTCAGGGAAAAATCTGGCTGAACCCCAAATTATTCTTTTTATTTMAAATTACTTGGTCTGCTCCTTTTGTGGAGAGAGAATTTGAATGGAGCATGGGAATTGTCCCTATGTCTGGCCTGATTTTACCTCAGTATGTGTGAATATTATATAAAATAGGTCAGTCCTCTGCACTGGATTGGGACAGAGAGGAGTGATTCGTGTTCAGATTTTTTCACATCTTGATATTGAATTATGGTATGTGTGGGTTTACCCTTCACTTGATTTCTGAATTTCCAGTAAGCATGTTTTCAGTTCAGTTTTGATCTTTCCTTGAAATCTTTAAAGTCTGAAAGAAAAATGTGATATATACTTGTATGCCCTTTATTGCTTTAAAACTTACTAAAACTTTGCCTATAATGGACTTTTAAACTTGAAAACTATATACAAGCAAAATTAGTTACATTTTATGAGTAGGAAGATCTCTGGGTAGAGTGTTAATGCTACTCTTATGCTCCTCAGCTGGCTCACGTGACGGCCCTGAAAGTTAAAGATCACAATGGTATGTACTAGTTTGGAAAAGTCTTGGATTGGTTTATAACCATGTAATTGYATAAATTCTGTGGTTGCAGTAGCTTGTTCTTAATCACATTTGTYCTGAACATTTCTAAATGTGTATGCAGTTAATTTTTTGCATGCTGTAGAGCTCTTTACTGGGAAGAGTGTAGCTGAACAGAATTTACTCCCTTGGGAAGCAGGGATGCAAGGGTAGGAGAAGAATGTACAGATAAATATCTAGTTCTGAGTAGTGATAACAAAACYACCACTGATGTTTCCATCTTATGCTTCTCTAGCTGTAGCTTCATCTTTTCAGAATGGCTGACAAGAACTTTAGTAACTGCTGTAGGGTGTCTTATCAGTGCTGTGAATTTTTGGCCTTAATTACCCCCTTTGTAAGGACAGCAAATTGGCAAAGTATCTCACACATCCTACCTGTATAGGAAAAGATAAAATAAAAAAAAATAAAATAAATAAGCCTCGATAGGCAAGGCTTCTTCTGGATGTGATTCAGTGAGGGATAGGAGAAGCCATTTCTGATCAGTATCGTGGCAAGTTTTTAAATAGTGGTCAAACAGTTTCCCCACTGGAAAACAGGAATTGGCAGCACCATCGTTGGAGCGTGTCATTGTTAGAGGAAGGGTGTAGGGAATCAAAAGGGAGAGACCTTTGCATTGTTTATTCCTAAAGGCCTTATGATTTCGAGCCCAGCTTTTTTTGGGCATTGCTGGATTTATGGATTTATTTCTTGGCAATACTGAGATTATGCTTCTGTTTGTGTTGATTCAATGTTTTATATTCCTTTCCAGCATCTTTTACRGACGAAGAGAACTCTGCTTTTGAGACCCAGCCATTTCCTTCTCTGCAAAGAGTAAGTTGTGAATATAGAGCAAGATGATTATTCTCCCAATAATTACCTTCATAGTATTTTGTTTGCTGTGGGATCTCTTTATAATGATTTTTTTTTTTCAGGTCCTGGAGTGTATTTCTAAAGATGTTGGGTTCAACATAGAAATAAAATGGATCTCCCAACAAAGGGTAAGTAAACACTCGTGATTTACTTTGATTCTTTGACATTCTCACGACTAAACTTTGTAATTTGACCTAACAATTTATGAGCTGCAGAGGCATAATTTTTGAATGTTTTATGTGTCTTTTTTGTAATGCATTTTTTTTCAAGTGGGGATATAATAGCATCACTCCAACAAATGAGAAAACCAATTGTTAAACTGATGGAAAGTATTTATGGGATTGAGTTCATGCAGCTCAGACTGCTTTTGATAGGAGATTCTTTTAAGAACCAACAGATCACAACAGGGCAGGCAGGAAAGTGCCAAGAAATTCAATCTTTCCTGGCCCAGTGCAGGAGCAGCTACCCCATGGTGCAGTGATGCAAGCAGCTGTTTCCTTTCAGACTGCAGACTCAGCTGGATTGTGCAGCACTCAGAACAGAAGGAAATGGYTGTAAAAGCTGGGATTGGAAGCCTGGAGTTGGGGAAGGAAGTTAGGGAGAGTGGTAGGAAAAACTCCTTATGCTAGAAATAACAGCAGAGAGTATTTGCTGTAATTATTAAATCTTCAGGGAATTTCTTTGTGGTTTTGAAATAAGAATAGGCATCCTATGAATGCATTCCTTGGATGGAGAGATGGTGAATTTTTCAGTGAATCTTATTGCTGTGAGAATTCAGCTGCACCTCACAGACTGTAACCAGCATCCAGCAGACTGAAGGATTGACTTCTGTGTTCACACTGAATTCTCACAGCTCAGGTTAAATTTGAAAACCATTGCTCGTTAAAATAATCACAGTGAGCATTAATTTAAGTGGCTGAAACTTGTGCTTTTTTTTTTTTAGGATGGACAATGGGATGGCAACTTGTCAACTTACTTTGATATGAACGTTTTTCTAGATATTATTCTGAAAACTGTTTTGATGAATGCTGGAGGAAGAAGAATTGTGTTTTCTTCTTTTCACGCAGATATTTGTACAATGTAAGTTGAAAGAAATAAATACTTTCTTTTTAAAATTTATTTTTATTTGGTAAAATTTACTTTTTRCRTAAGAATACACACCAGGAAATAAAKTACTGGTGTTTTGCTTAGACATAAACTTGGGGTGCTAGAATGGTTGGAAGCTGAAATGAGACCACTTTGCCATCTGAAATGAGCCAAAAAAAAATAGGAGAGAAAAGTTGTAAGTGCCTTCCTAGATGCTTTACTCTTTCTCAGCACAACAAAAAAGGTCAGGGTTTCATCTGACATTCCAAAGTCTTCTTCAGTCACGCCTGACTTTAAATGAAATAATTTTGTTACAGTATCCAACTTGAAATTAGGTTAGGGACTGTATGTTAACCGTGTTTAGAAATTCTTGTGGATCTTCATGAATCTAATGAGCATTTAAGAAAAAAATTACAGAATTAAATGGCCTTCAGGGATTTTATATAAACATTTTGAGGATGTGGATCTGAGATCAGCATCAAGCTTAGCTTCCCTTAAACTCTATGAATCTCCAGTAGTGCCAGAATAAATCACTTGAGCAGTTTGTCTCACAGTTTGATGGTAAACTATGGGACCATCTCCTTGTACCAGCTAGGAACTAGAAGAAAACGCATTAAAGAGAGGAATTCCCCTCAAAACAGTGAGATTGAATTCTCCTGCTTTGTATTTTTACATTTTTATTTTTTTCATTTTCTATTTGTGAACTTTTTTCCTGACAGGATCCGGCATAAGCAGAACAAGTATCCTGTGTTATTTCTCACCCAAGGGGAATCTAAACTCTACCCAGAGCTTATGGATCTCAGATCTCGCACAACTCCAATTGCCATTAACTTTGCACAGTTTGAAAACTTGTTGGTAAGCTGACAAGTTAAAATGAAACTAAATTTTAACTGCTTGTTTTAAATCTATCAATTTGGACACTAATGCTTTGAATTACAACTAATGTCATAAAAGAAATTAATATACACTAATACACTAATATTGGGTAACTGCCAAAATAATATCCATTGTATCAAATGTCATTTAATATAGTGCTTTAAAAATAGCACTATAAATAAACTCTSTAATTGTATTAAATATTTTTATTGTTATGTTGTTTAATAAAAATTAAATATATTTATTGTTAATAACATATTATGTTATTAAATATGTTTATTGTTAAACAATTAAATTTTGTTTTATGTTACGTTTATTTCATGGATGAAATTGTAAGGAGCTGCCACTGTAAAAAAATTTTAAAAACTGATATAGGAGTTTCAGGGAGACGTGGATTTTAATTGAAATCTTTTGTATTTCAGGGAATTAATGTACATTCTGAAGATCTGCTGAGGAATCCAGCATTTGTTCAACGGGCCATATCCAAAGGCCTGGTTATTTTTTCGTGGGGTGATGATGCAAATGACCCAGATAACAGGAAGAAGTTGAGAGAATATGGTGTTCATGGGCTAATATATGACAGGTACTTAATTTTGACTTTCTAAATTAATAATCATCATCATCAAGCTCAGAAACTACTGYATTTTGATTCTGGTGAAATTTCATGTTGCTTCTTGGTTGACTGGGTTGAGAAACCCAGATCAAGATCAAGTCTTAACATCAATTCCTACTCTTTCAGCTGTGTATATGAATCAAAATAACTTCTGTTTCTCCTGAGATTAACGTAAATGTGATTTGTTTCTTCAAAGAATTAGTGCAGGGCATACACTTTCAAGGTGCTGCTAATATTCAGATAGTAATTTTTAAGCTGTGTACATGACATGGTGAGCACAATGTTATTTAACTGTTTGACTGAGAGCTTCAGCATTCTACATGAAGCTACACAAATAGTTAACACAACTTAAATGAATGATTTTAACTTAATTCTTGCCAAGATYCTGTTTGTTTCAAAGCTGTGAATTCATTGGTTTTTCCTGTTAAAATCAGCTTGGAGCGACTCCAGGGCAAACTGCCAAATTAGTCACTTTAGAGAGTAGCTSTATTACTTCCAGAAATTCAGAATACTGTGGTAAATATTTAAACAAAAATAGTGTTGTGTTTAGTTGCTTAAAAAACCCAGAAGTTTGTAGTTCCTTATCTTTGAAGATGTGAAATTCGTTATGAGATGAAGTTTAATAAGAGAAGCTGATTTATTAAATTAGAATTTCTGATAGATAAGAGAGAATTTTTAATTGGGAAAGCATTAAGTGTAACTGAAGTTGCACATTACAGAAGGCTTTCAAGCCTTCTTTTACAAGAGTATTGCTTTGTATAATGTTTTACCTAAAAAAACAAACAAACAAAAAAAAAACAAACCAAAAACAAAAAAAACAAAGGGAGGAGGAGGATCAATTATTATCAAAGGCTCTGTTTTATAAAGTGATACATTATTGGTGGGGTGTTTTAACCAAATACTGCWGCATAAAGTGTTCTTAAAATGTGTGCTCATCTGATGTCTGCTAATGCAGTCTTCCAGAGTTGTTAATTACTCTTTGTGCAGTAGATATTCATTACTGTGGTAAAATAGTAAAGCAGGTGACAGCCTAATTTCTGACTTTGTGTTGCTTCTATTGCTTTGGATGCTCCACACTAGTTAAATGTTGTGGTGTTTGTCAAGGCTGTAGGTCAGCCACGTGTCACCTTGTGTTTCTTTCGTACTGTTTAGTGCTTGAAGTTGTAGTAGGATAATAGAGCACCTTTTATCTCACCTTTTGATAACCAGCCAATTTGCTGGAAGGCTGAATTCCATTGTGGATTTAACTAAACAAAAAGTTCTTTGCTTTCCTGTACTGTTTAGATCATCTGGATYCTTAATAGTGTTCATCTCTCCTCTCACTGCTTGCCCCCTCTATCATTTCCACTTCAACATCTTCCCATTTTTTGGAGAGGAATCCCAAAATTAGTATTAACTCCAAAGCTGTTTCAAGAGAGTAGTTGTGTTTCAGTGCTGCATTTTTTTCCTTTGTTTATCAAGTTACAAAGTGCAGTTTGAGTAGCAAACTGTTATCTTGTTTCCATGTAATTATTCTAGGCTTGTTAAATGTAATTTCCAAATGTCACTTCCCTTTTTTTTTTTTTTCTGTAGGCCAAACAAATAATGGAATGTCCCTTTGCAATTCTTATTTTTCAACATCTACCAATTGTCTGAATAAAATTAAATTCAATCTTAATATAGGTGCCTTAGAAGGAATATGACACTTTCTGAAAGTGGCATTAGATATCTCTAACTGGACATTTTGAGATGGGGGTGGTACCTGCAAGTCTGAAAGGCAGGAATGTAAAACCTGGCAGCAAATGTTCCCACTCACAGCTGGAGGTGCTGGGAAAAGAGGAAGCCTTTCAGATAGTTTGAGACTTCTTATTAAAAGTTTAAATAGGTGTGGTGTCAGCAACCATATTCTGTGCTGTTTGACGTTTAGAAATAAATTTAAAATTAAATTTAAAAAGCAGAATGAGAGGGAGAGATGTACATGGCTGTCCCAAGGTCTAGACATAAGTAGGGAGTGCAGTAATCTGTTTTATTTTAAAGTCAGTTCATGCTATTGTTGTGTCTTCAAATTCCAGAATATTTCCAGGGCTGAATTAAGATGGTGCTGCTTCCATGGTTTCTGCAGATTTTTTGTTATCTGGATTTATGGCCAAGTCCAGATATCTATCAAATATGGTGTTTTGTGTTGCTGTTCACCAGACCTTTACTTACACCATGTTAAGTGCTGAGTGTCTGAATAATCTAGGAAGTGAAYAGAGGAATTCCAGTGATTTTAGGTTGCTTGCATGTGGCCCTGTGTTACTGTGTGCAGTAGTTATTTCTGAGATTATGAATTATGTGCATAGAGATTATTTCTGTAAGCTATTTTTTCCAAACTTTAATCATCCATGTAGAATTGACCAAAACACTGTAGCCAGTTGTGAAGATGGCAGAAAAACTGTGTCCTGAATACCAAAAGTTGGTGATACCAAGCACTGGGCAAAAAAAAATGCAGGTAGGGGGTGTGACTTTGCTTTGCATGGAGAAAAACTGCAAGGCTGATTCTGGGAAGCTTAAATGCCAACAATATTAAAAGACTGATCTCACTGGGGCAGAGGAAAGAACACAAATGCACTCCCTCCCCCCATCCAGGCCTTTCTCCACTTGGGCTGCAGATTATTGCATACATCCAAAGTCATTAAACCAAACAGATGTTCTGCTGCAGTTGCTGGGATGATGTTCTGCTGTTAACTACCCTTCATCTCAGTGTTTAAAGTAACCAAATTACTTGTATTAAAAGGGCAACCTCTGCAGAGAGGTGCCACATCTTCCTTCAGGCTTTTATTTGGGTCCTTATGCAGAAAAGTACTTTATGTGCATGACTGGGTATCTTCTGTCTGCACAGAAATCTCAGCCTTAAATTGCTTTATTAGTCTGGTGTTCAGATTTTAATTGAGAAGAAACTTCAAACTATTGTAGTGAAATTCTCTGGCTTGGTAAAAATGATGAATTTCAAAGTGGGATTTTTGGAGTGATTGATCTGATATTTTTCTCCTGGATAGGCTTTGTAAACAGTCCAGGAAATATTTCTGTATTTGAATATATTTAACTCGATAAGGACAATGCAGCCTTGTGTTTTCACATCTGCTGGCTGTATATTAAATACCAATGTGGAGAGGGGGTGGGTGCCAGCTTACACTTGCATCATCTTTTCACTTTACWTGACTGAATTTCGTTTGTTGAATAATACACAGAACTGCATAAAAYACTAAATCAGTATTTCCCAAACGTGGATGCTGAGAGCTTTTCCATGAGAGCTTTGTCCAAACCCTGCAGTTCCTTAGGCTGCATGTTGCTTTTGCAGGCAGAAGCTGTGCTTGCTTTGTATTGGTAACTTCCCAACATTTACACGAATTTAGCTGGCAATCAAGGCAAAAACATTTTAAACACTTCACAAAAGTAGGAGASTGCTGAAATCTGGGCTGCCCTGTTTGCCTGAAATTGCATGTGACTTAAATAACAGCATGGATATGTGTAGGAAGTGTAGTATCCATTGATTTATGATTTACCCAGTGATTAAATTAAGGTGTTATGCAGTGATAGTCCAAGTTTTCCCTGTTTTGTGAATTGTGAAGTAAACTCAGGTTTTCCTTGAGATGTTAAATGAAAAGCTTTAATYAAAAGCTTCAGAAAATCTTTTTAGCATGAAAACACTATTTCAGTTCTGCTGCCTTTTTWATGTGTTTTCAGAGGTTGCAAAACACCTGACAGGAGCCAAACACATCAGTTTTACACCCACTGCATAGCCCTGCAATGTCCTGCAAGTCTTTTGTAGAAGGTGTTTACCTAAAAAAGCAATGTTTGAAGGACTTCTCAGTCTTCTGCAGGGCTTGTTTATTGATAGGAAGTTGGATGGAGAAACTTCTGTTAAAAATAATAGTCTGTTGAAGAATGAAGGATATGGAAATGAGAGTTTATTCCTTATCTTTATAGAGATGTTGGAAAAAATTAGAGAAGTCCTGGAGCTGTGTTTCTGTAAACTGCTGGTGTACTTTTGTGGACCCAAACAGAAAGTAGGATCAAGAAATTCTGAAGTACAAGTGAAGCTGTGCTTCGAATTGTCTSCTCTGCCTTTGGTTTAGAAGAAACCAAATATACACACATTGGAGTGAGCTGGCTCTAGTGGACAGTTTGCAAGGAGCTTGGAGGGTTGAATTCATCCAAAATCTTAACTGAAGAGAATTTAGAATGGAGCAGGAATTACTGAATTTTTATTTGTTATAGTAAAGAATGAACAAAATACCTGCCAGAAGGTGCTTAGAAATCAGCTTAGYCATGTTCTAGGAACAAAAGGTTTCAAAACATGCCTTTGCTCTTCTAGTGTCTAACTGTGGGGAGGACTTAAGGTTCTTGGTTCCTGAAGTGTGATGCCATAGAGAAAAATTCCTTCAGGTTTCAGTGCTTTGTCTGGAACACACAGGGAAATTCATAATGTGTCAGCTGCSTCAGCTGAGGGAAGCTCAGGTCTCACCTGGAGGGAAGGCAGAGCTTTTATTCTGCAGAAAGCTTCCATCAGGCACCTTTGGGTCATATCTTAGGTCTGTGTTGGGCAATAAGTGCTGTGTAAGTAATTTTTAATTTGTAATTTAAATGCTATGCCTTCTGTTGGAATTTCATCACACTGGACAGCATCTATCCTCACTTCTAGGAATTCCTTCACAGAAATTGTCCTTGATCTCACAGTGGAGAATGTGATCCATATCAATCTTCCCTGTGGAAATGTTTCCTCACTGGAGACCCATCCTCATGCCAGTCTTTGAGCTGTGTGTTGTTTTTGGTGTCTCAGAGTTGCTCACAGTTCACACATTGTCTTGTCAGAGTAAAAGGGCACCTTGCACTCCCTCACATCAGCACCACGTTGCTTTGATTGTGGTATTGGTTCCTGCTGGACATATCTTGAAAATGTATGAGAGACATAGGATGATGAAGTAAAACCAAACTATTTTCTTGAAGGWATCATAARTGAAARYAYRAATATTCATAATATTAAGGCAGAAGCCATGGTCATTTCTTGCAGAAGTTTTCATTTGAAGAAGATAAACTGGAAACCTGTAATACCTGGAACTGTGTATGTGCAACAGCTAAAAGTGAGACCAGCTGGATGCCAGGATTAACATTTTGGATATAAATAACATGCTGATATTGGAAATTAWTGTTGGGAAATCAGGATATATCCTTGTCACAATAGGTTACAGGAGCACCAATGCTTTTTGCTTTATAATTAATTACACCAGAATAGTGTTTGAGCTGTGCTCAGTGCTTACACTGTCACTCAAAATGTGGTTTGGATTTGGACAAACTGGTGGGATGCTGACATTTCAAATCCTGCAGCTTYGTTTACCTGTGTGRAAAYAARAAAGTGAAAAGAGGAYAGAYTTWAAAATAGTGTGGATGGTTAATTTGCATTAGGTGTGGATAGGGATCAGATTTTCTATCTTTCACTCTTAGTATTTTGGTAATTATGGTAATGTAAAAAAAGAAAAAGTTCTGAACTGGGGGAAGTGAAATACTTTTTGAACCAGTAAGTATACCCTCCATGCAGTATCATGTACAAGCAATGTATCACAGTCTGTTCAAACAATYTCAGGGCTCTGAAATTCCTTATGCTTTTAACTTTGAATCCTGGAACTCTGCTCTTATTTCACTGCTTTGTGCCACCTGTAAAATCACATTTGTTGGGACACTGAGTATCTGCCAGTAGGTTTTTAGTATGTCCAATGAAACACTAACTGGTCTGTGTAAAGGAAATAACATTTACATTGCAAGGTGAGCAGCAAAACTTAAAATATTGACCTCAAACTGTCTTTGGGACCTGATTAAGGTACTCCATTAAGGAAAAAAATCCCAGATGTTTCATCTGGTGTACAGTTCTGTGAACTGCTAGTTTATACTGATGAGTATTTTTTTCTTTTCTCATTTATTCAGGATATATGACTCAAACCCTGAACAACCAAATGTATTCCAGGTGGAGCAGCTGGAACGTCTCAAGAAAGAACTGCCAGAGTTGAAGAGCTGTGTGTGTCCCTCAGTTAGCCACTTCAAACCCTTAGCTGCATGTAAATGCCATCATAAKTACCTGGAAGAGAAAGCTGTAGATAACTTGAAGAGTGTTCAGATGCAAAAGGACTAATTTTAGGCAGAATGCTGTTTTGTATCTATAGAATTTTCACCATTGGAATAGTTCTGTCTATGCTTTCAGGTTGGTTTGTTTTTAATTTTAAGTCCTCAAATAGCAATAATTGTGTTCCTCCTTTCTAACAGTACTTATTAAAATTTCAAACAATGGTAAAATATTCAGCCAGTTATAGTTATTGTTCCAATTTACATATACAGTTTTAACCTTTTTCTCAAATCATGTCAAATCTTGGAARAGAAAATTATTGCTAGTGCTTTTAAAAAACCCAAAAATTAATTAAGCAGTCTCGGCAGTTAAAGCTCAGAAACTAAATTGTAGAGAAATTACAATAATCTGATATACTGAATATGCTGAAAATTCRTTTTTACTTTGATTTTACTTAGAGACTGACAAGCTGTAGCATTTATCTGGCAGCAGAAAATTAAGAGAGTGATTTTAAGATAGCTATAAATAGGTGTGGCCTATCAMAAGATCTGAATTGGTACCTCATGTATATGTATTTGCACTGGTAGATCCACCTGTACAGAGCTTTGTGCCATTTTAAAGTATTTATTTATTTTTTTAGTAAGCTGCAGCTCATTTTCCCCCACATCATTGGACATTGAGGCTGCTGCCTTTGTTTCCTCTCAGTTCAGTGGTACAGTGCCCGTGTACAGCAATCAAGGGGGAACCACGAGTACAATTTATCATTAATCACACACAGGCCTGCTMAACTTTAAAAACATTGCTAATAATCTTAACAGAATTACAGAAACATCTTCAGTGGTTGAGAATCTCTTTTGCACAATAACCTTAATGAACAGAGTGTGTACCCTGCACAAACTCTACAAAATGCATGCTTTATCTATTAAGCATGAAATTTAGGTGTTTGCTGAGGTCCTTGCATCTTTATGGTGCTAGTTATGTGTGAAGGGTGCAAGGACCCACTCAACAAGTTCATCTTCTTTGCCTGAGAAACCACGAGCCTGTTACTCACAAACATTTGGAGAAGAGGCTGTACCGTGTGTGGTTTGTCTTTCTTACATAATGCAAGCTACTGGCTTTTGTATTTTGCAAGATTTTTGGCTTTTGCCATGGAGCAAGAATCACAAATGTACTGAATTCAGATAATCAGTGTTCTGTTGGCTGGTATCTATCCTCTGTAATTTATTACCAAGTCATAGTTTTAGAGTTCTTAATAGATAAGTATGCATGTCCTTCCTCCTCCTGATGTTGCAGGCCATGCCAACACAACAGCTGTAACTTTCTACTGAAGTGTTAATGTATAATAAGAATGGAAAATATTTATTTTTTTTCTCTTGTAAATTGACAATGAAAACAATAGTATGTACTATATTCTTTATATACAGTCATTGCTACATATAGAACTGATTGTACAAAGAGTAAAGCCATTGCAAATAAGTGCTTGAGCCTGCACTGCTGAGCAGTTTGGAACAGCTTGTTTTGACTTGTGCATTTTAGTATTTAAAGTTTGTTTGTCCCGCACAAACATCACAGTAGTGATTAGGTATCTGGAAGCCTTCTTTTATTAAAAAAAAAAAGACAAACAAAAATGCAAAACAACCCTAAACCAAAATCGGAAGTGTGTGAGCTGTGTTTTTGAGAAGGGGAGGGGGCACTGAACCGGAATCTTGGCATCAGAAACCTGTGACTRTTTCTTGATACATTCCTCAYCTATGTGATTAATTCTTAATTTYTTTTTCCTCATTTGTATACCCTGTGGGATTCTCTTGACAGGTCTTGAGGGCTTTGCCAACTGATGCTCAGCTCCTAGTGGAGTTTGTGTCACTGCTTGAGAAAGAGACAAAACAGAGCTGTTGAGTGTGACACCTGTTCTGTAYGAAGGTGATGTAAAAGTTGTGCTGTCTGAAGCACCCTCAGCCTAAYCCCAGTGAGATGTTCAGGAGGGCTTAGGCACTCATGAGATCTTCTTCCCCAATTTCCAATGCTCAGTGAACAGCATTTGTCTGTTCTGTTTGAGGGGAGTGGGAATAAATACCCCCACTGTGATGATTTGACAAGACAGTTTTGAGCAGTGGTACAATGTTGTTTTCTTGCTGAATCCCTTTTTCCTGCATAAGTTGTGTCAGCAACTTCCTCCAAACCTGAGGAGTTTCAACAGCTCTCCTGCTGTGCCAGTTTTTGGAACTGTTCTGTCACAGCCACCAGCCTTTTAGACGGGATAGTGCTCTGCAGAGAGCATTTTGCATGTGAATCACCCTCCCTTTTGCACACTTTTGTTATTAACATTGTTGCTGATACGGTTCTTACCTGTTAGCTGTTACATTTTCTTATCTCACTGCTGTTTGCAGTAAACCAGTCTTATCTCAAGCCCTGATCTTGGCCACCCCTGCTGGCAGAGGAGGAGGWGCCCGGTGCTTTGGAGTCTCAGGGAAAAGCCTAAATTGGGGAGCACTGTTCCTAAACCTGGCACTGTCCAAAGAAGGGAAGGCAAATGCTTGGCACCGTCAGAGAACCCGCTGCCCTGCCTTGAGGAGCCTCTGCTGCCCGTGGGCCCTGCAGGACATGGGACAAGGGACAGTTGGGGTAATCCCAGCCTTATCYAGATTATGGTAAACCCTACAGGCTCACACAAAACCCAGAGGGAGCTGCTCCCTTCCTGAATCCTGTGCTAGCCTGGCACCAGGATGAAGACAATCCCAGTGTGCTGCTTTAGGAATGGTRTTTCCCAGTTTAGTGTTCCCACTCCTAAGGCACTCTCACCTCTCTTGCAGCGGGATGAAGAGGGGAATTGAAGGCACAGAGGGTGAGAATCATGAGTTAAGAACAATTTAAGGAATCGGCACTGGAATAATAAAAAGGAACAGCAGCAGTTCCAGTACCAATAACAGAGGGAATGGGCACTCCCCAGCCACTCCCTCAGCCACATTCCCTGGAAGAAAACCCTTCCTCTATCCCTGGAAACTGATGTGGTGTGGAACAACCTCTGGGTCATGRCCATGRCCCCTCCTGGCTGCTGCAAAAATTAACCCTGGCCTGGCCAGGGACATTGTCCATCCCTTATTCCATACCACCCATGGCATGCCCAGATCCTACACCTTCCAGCTATAACCACTGTGGGTGTCATGTCCATAGTCCCTGGCCATCCCTCCAAGGGCTCTGTGGAATTCTTTATGTTCTCCATGACTGAGGTCTCTGTCCTAGACATCTTCCAGGTCAGGAGAGCTACAACATACAGTGTCAGTTCTCCTCTAGGAAATTTGGGTACTACCTCCAGAATTTCTCCATATTACTGGGGATTCACRTATTTTCACAGCCACATAGATCATGCACCTTAACTGAAAACATCGAGCAAAAGTTTTGGTCACAAGAGGAACCAGCTGCGAAAGCTCTGGCTGGCTCCATGTTTGTCTCAGGCTTCTGGAATTACACCCCACCTCCTGGAATTTCATATTTTCCTTCTCAGCTGCCTCCACCATCATATCCTGGGCTCACAGAACCCAGCTTCAAAGCTTTAAACATCCAGCAATTGCTTCCATACAGGTCTTAGAGAAAAAAAAAAGTTAACACTGGCCTTCCCCTTGCAGCCTGTAAACTCCACCACACGCAGGTCTTCACTCTCTCATTTCAGCTGCACATGCCCTCAGGTGCTTTCACAGAATCTTATGTCCAAAATTTAAAAAAAAAAATCTAAAACTCAGCAGCTGCTCCCACAGAAAAGGTCCTGGAAGAAAGAGCCAGTGCTGGACTACACCTCCCTTTTGTAAGCTATAAATTGCTGCACTGAGAGGATTTGCTTGCCCTTCTTCACTCTTGTAGAGACAGGATCCAAATCTGAAGCCCCCCATTAACTGGTCCCACACTAAAAGGAAAACGTTTCCACACTCCTAGGAAAAAAAGATTGTTTTGGCTTTTACCTTCCCATTGTCACCATTCAGAGCTCACCCTATATCCCCTGTGTTCTTCCTAAACAATTAAATGCACCATGACACTGCCTCAGAAACCGAAAGTGCAGATCTGAAGTTAAAAATATCTAGACGCTACTGCCAAAAAAAAAAAAAAAAAAAGTGCCAGGGCTGAAAGGAAGAMATTTATTTTGGAAGGCAAGCAGCTCTCCCAGGGTTCCTGATGCAGGTAACAGGCTGAGGTAAAGGCCAGCAGCAGCTTTCTTTCCTTTGTGGGAGCAATCCACTCTCAGGAGCCCAYCATCAGAATTTGGGCACTGTCTCCAGTGTTGAATCCATCCACCAGGGACTGCTCGAACACAGAAGTTCTCAGGGCAGAGCTGTTGCTGCTTTGTTCCTCCCTGGGGCAGCATCTCCTGCACCACCACCACGGGGTGAGTGATTCCKTAGCAAATAAAGGCATCCTCATCCTCTTTCTGGGGTCTACCTCCAGTGTTTGGATACCAACTCCAAAATTGTGCATGACCAGGGATCTCTCTCAGAGAAAACTTCCCAGGATAGAAAGCTCTTTCTGGTTTATACCTCCCTAGGAAACCCTGTCACTTTTTCTTTCGGGTGGCCAGCATGTGACAAGGACAAGGACGAATAAATGATTTATTTAAACTGACAGTGATAATGATTAGATGAAAATGTAAAAAAACGAAAATGCAAAATGGCATAATGACAATCTGATCAGAGCTATTTACACAAAAGCCCTGCTAACACAGGTTTATTTATTTATGCTCTAATTATGGCACCAATAATACAGCTAGGTTAATAACTATCAAATAGGGATTGATGTCACTCACCCATAGCACTGACCACAGGCAAATCTCTTTCACTCAGCTTCCAGAGGTGTCCCTGAGGGTTGTTCCCACCTGAGGGAAGGATTTTCATGTACCTGAGGGAGGGATGCTGGGAAAACTGGGACTGGCCTTTTATGGTATGAAGATTTTGATTGTCACTCCTGCAAGTTTTAGTTTCTGTGTTGTCCTGTGCTCAGCAGAACACAGGTTCATTTTTGAGTCAGATGTTACCAGCTCTTTGGTTTCTTTTGCTCAAAACTTCAGTCTCATTTCCCTACCAGCGTTTTTCACATCCCTATGGATGCCCCCTCAGTGGGGAAGAGCACCCTCATGAAGGGCCTGGTTGAAGAAAATTTGGTCAAGCTGGTCTCAGCATTCTTCAACACTACACCCAGTATTTACTAAAACCCATTTCTTAATCCATCGCCAAAAATCTGTGAATAAGACCAGGAAAATGTTCTTCAAAGCTCTCCCAGCCCTTCCAAAGTGAATAGTGCCAGTGCTCCTGCCCCTCCTATTGCAGTTGCTCATTCCTCACACAATCCCCTGCCAGTCCTGTGGTTCCAGGAACAGCAGAGCTCCATCTCCATCCCTTACAGAGACAATGAGACCCCTCTGGAGCTGTGTCTATGCAGCTCTGTGCCTGCATTCCTGCTCCTTCCTGCTCTCCCTGTTTGCTGACTGGTTTCTAGCTCTGCCTCCTATCTGAGTTTTTACACATTATTTGTGCTGTGCCACCTTAGGGCATTGTGGAATCTCCCTGGAGAAGTGGGAAGTCAGGTGGATGCAGCAAAACCCCTCCCTCACATTTGAAGAAGTCACAAAGGKCAGCATGGACTCTGCATTTCAGTGAGAAAAGGCTTCCAGAAGAAAAGAAACATGGAATTACCCACTTAAATGTTTTTGCTTCAATGGAGGGAAAATAACAGCGCTCAAGGTGTGGATTAGAGGCACCCATCCCACCCCTTCACTGCCCCAGCAGCACCAGGGCTCTGTGCTTGCTCTGACACAAAATTCTGCCCCTCCCTTCATCTGCTGATTAAAAGAATTTGCCCAGTTTTTCTGATGTCGCAGCCCCCTGCACTCATCTGCCCCACCGCTTCCTCCAAGGCACAGTTTTTACAYTGTCTTCCTCCCTTGCTCTTCCTTGCACTTTTTGGCAGCAGTTTCTGCAGTTACGTGGCTTTTCCTGTGTGCCCAAGTGAGTGTGTTAAAAACAAGTAAATATTCCATATGAAGGAGAAAGGGAATGACTTGCTCCCTGTGCCTACAGGCAAAAAATAAAAATTAAAAAAAAAAAAAAGGCTTGAGAAGGCCCATCATTTTAGGTTATTTGTGTCACCTTGGCATTTCCAGGGGTGGTTTTTCCTGCAGTTTGATTGCTCTTTGCATGTCTGTGGGACATTTCCAGGCCCTGCTGTTTGTCCCATGTCACGTCCTGGCCATTGCCACCCTCGTGTCCTCTGCTCAGGTGCGCAGGGGACGCCTCAGGGACACGCTGTGGAAATAAAAGGGGACGAGAGGCTGGCTGAGTGGATGGGCACGAGTGTCCCCCGTGTCCCTTGTCCCTCAGAGGTGTCCCCGTGGTCCCTGCCCAGGGTGAGCTGAGCCCGAAGCGCCCCGGGGCTGCCCCCATCTCCCAACGCCTCCCATGTGACTGCGGCTCCCAGGGCTCGGCCACACCTGTGCCACTCACAGCTGCCTTCATCTGTCAGCAGGAGCGGACCAAAGGAGGCAGAGCAGGAAGGGGACAAAAGGAGGAAGAAAGCAGAGCAGGAAGGGGAGGAAAGGAAGAGACAGAAGGTGAGAGAAGGAGGCTGCGTTGAGCAGTGAGAAGCAGAGCAGCCGATAATCAGAGGCTTCCGATGTCCTCCTCAACTTCCAGCAGCTCTTTGCCCAGCGGCCTGGCCGTCCTGACGACATTCCCAGATGTGCTCTTCATCCCTGAAATCGTGAGTGCTGACTTTTCCCTGCGGGAAGGGCACCTGGTGCTGCAGGGCTCTGAGGGGTGGGAATTGTCCCCAAGGGGCTGGGACAGCTGAGCCTCGGAGCAAAACACGGGGCTGAAGGCTCCCCTTTAATCTGCAGTGGGATTTTTGTGGTGCCGCTGAAAAACTTTTGTGATTCCCTGCCTAAAAAAAAGTCAGGGGTCGGTGGTGKGTGTAAYCAGATTGCCAAATTGAGMGGGTTAATTGGCTRGAAGATGATTTTAGCGGATGATGRAGGCAGAGAGGATTAGAGCRGGGGATCGGGGGAGCTGAGGGGATSGAGGAGCCGAGGCTGCGCTGCTCCGATGCGACATTCGGGAGCGCTGGAGCTGGGCGTGAGGGGAGCGAGGGGTGAGCCCCGGGTGAGCAAACACCTCGTAACTTCTTTCCACCTCGTAACTTCATTGAGATCGCAATCTTAATGGACTTGGAACGAGTGGGTAAAAGATAAAAAGTTTCGACTTGAACCTTTTTCCCGGTGTCCCCCTCCCCACTCACGAAACCGGCTCCTCTCGTAAGAGCGTGAGAGGAATTTTTTCCAAACTCTGAGCACTTTGGTCCAGAWTTGAAAGCTCTGGCTGATTATTGAAGGATGGCATTCAGGTTATTTTGTCAGCTTTGCCACCTGACACCGAATCCTTTTCTGCCACCCAGCTGGGATTCACAGCATTTCCCTCGTTCTCCTGCTGATAACACGGCAGCAAAGAGGATGCAGGGAAAGGCTTTGCTTCAGCCCCTCCAGCCGTGCTCTGAGGATTTGGTCTCTGCCTCAGAGCAAGGTCCAGGCTCCCTGCAGCTCCACGAAGGAGGACGTGAAATCCCTGTGAAGGTTTTGGCTGGGCAGACACTCTCCAGCCACCCCCAGTGCTGGGTTGGTCTCGGTGCTGGTCCCGCTGTTGGCCTCAGCTCCTTTTCCCCCTTGGAGTGTTTGTTTGCAATCCCTGTCTCCAGGGGATTTGGCTGGAGCTGTAATGAGCACCCTCTCCTCTGGCTGGGGTTAGACCTGGAAATGTGCATCCTGAAGGCTCAGGAACCACCCAGGAAGGAGGAATGCTGCGAGACTGGATTTCTCCATCTCCAGGAAGRCTCTGTGCAGCTGTGTGACCTCTGCTGTGTACAAAGGAGGTGGCTGCCCTGAATCACAGCGTTCGGGAGGATAAAGAGCTTCTCATTCCTCAGTGGAATCTCAGCTTGCCTGCCATGGGCTAATATGGTAACTACGAAACAAAACAAAAATAAATTGGCATTTCAAACACTGAGGCGGTGGTGGAACTTTCAGGAGACCCCACCTGCAGCTCAGATGATTGCCACACCTGCAGGGGCTGATGAGGAGCTGCCACTTTTAATCTGTGAGGCTTAGTTTAATCCTTGTGATCTATTTATTTAGAGGACCTTTCTGCTCATACAAAGACACCCAGACCTATGTGGAGAAGCTAAAACCAGCTGAAAGTAGATAGGTTTGCTTTGTAAAGGGCTGTTTGAAGGATAAGTTTTTTTCTGAGAGTGTTGTCCACATCCTGCTGCGAGTTACTGAGAACCTTTCAAGCCTTTCTTCATTTTTCTTCATTTTTATGAGTATACTGAACAGCAGCCCCATAAAACCAGTCTGTAACCGTCATGAGTAACCACATCCTTCAGAAAGGAGAGATGGTGAGYGATAGGGAGTGAGCAGTGGTACCTCTTCCCCCAGCCTCGTATCTCACCACAATTTTGCTTGATTTTAATGGAGCAGCCATGAGGCTTTTCCCCAGGATTTTCATCTGCAACACACTCATTGTGTCACCACAGGAGTGGTTAAAAGGGCTGGATTAATGTTCAGACATCAGTTTTTCGTTGTTACAAGAGGCACCAGAACAGCAGCACTTTGGAAGTTTCTTTTCACCCAGGCCTTTGCCACGTCTCAAACACAAAATTGATGTAAGGTGTCAATCTGCATAATACCACCAGTGAACTTGCCTGCAACAGTGAGGTGACACAGATGATGTGACATTTTCCATATGATCATAAATCAGAAACTTTCTTTCCACTTGCAAAATGCCTGGACGGGAATGGAAATGGCACCAGGATACTGAGCTGGGACACAGCAGCCATCAGAGTGACCCCAGAGACAGTGAGACTCTCCTGCCTCGGGACATTTGCCTGCCCCCCAAACTGGCTGGTGCTGAGGGACAGGTCCCCACAGCTCCACACCCCGTGGGTTTGGGTGAGGAGCTCCTCCTCACAGGACGCTGCACAGACTGAGCTTTGCACAGATGCCACAAACAGCAGAGCTGTTCCACGGCACAGAAAAGCTGCTGAGTTCATTTCATCTGCACTCCAGACATTGCACAGCACTGAACACCGTGCTCCCATCCTCGTGTAGGACTCTGCTGATGAAGGGATGGAGCCCAGACATGTCCCTGTCCCACCCAAAAAAACAACAGCTGAGAAAGTCCCACTGCTCCCACATTGGCAGCTGGGACCAGACACAGCTCTGGTGTGGTCAGCGAAGGATGACCCCAAAGAGCTGGAGCAGCTCCCCTTCCCAAGGAGGAGCTGGGAGGGTGATATTTTCACGTGGCCCTTGTGAGGGCAGCTGTTGGTGCCGTTTGTCCACGCTCACCCTGTCCCCCCTCTCTCTTGCAGATCATCGGGGGCCTGGTGTGGATCCTGGTGGCATCCTCGAGGGTCCCCCTACCCATGCTGCAGGGCTGGGTGATGTTTGTCTCCGTCTTCTGCTTCGTCATGTCCATCTCCCTCCTGTGCCTCTACTTCTGCGGCGTTCACGGCGGCGGCAGCGGCTGGGTCACCTTGGTACGTCCCTGTGCCAAACCTGTGCTCCAAATTGCAGGCTGGGGGTGGCTGGAGGGGCTCCTGTGATCCCTTTGGAGGTGACTGTGTGACYCTTGTCCCCTAGGATGCCGTGTGCCAGGTGACAGCAGCGCTGTTCTACCTCAGCGCGGCGGTGCTGGAAGCCTTCGCCACCTACGCGAGCGCCGAGATGTTCCCGGGACAGCTCTACAGGGAGAACATCGCTGCCGTGGTGAGTGCCCGGCCCCGGGCCAGGGAACACCAGGAGGGGACTCTGGAGCTGCCTCCAGTGCAAAGCTTTGTTTGCACCCACAATTCGGTGAGGGGGGTCACGAACGAGCTGATAAAAGGTGCTGAAACCTTGGTGTGACCCCAGCTTCAGCCCTGTACAGTTGTGGTCTTACAAATGAACAAATGTCCCCAAATGTGTGAGAAATAGGGCACATCCTGAGGCTGTGCTCAGTGCTGGAATGGCACCGTGGAGCAGGAAATTGACTGGCTGCTGTGTTTTCCCATCACAGGTATTCGCTTTYGTGGCCACCCTGGTTTATGTGATCCATGAGGTGTTCTCGCTGCTGCGATGGAAATCATCCTGAGAGCCTGAACAAGCCCAGGAACGACGACTGGCTGGGTTTGGGTTTGGTTTTTTAATGYATATCCTATAAACAAGAAGCTTTCTATGTGGGATCTTGGTGATGAAGACAAGGAGCCTGCCAGAGGAAGGAATATCCCAGCACAACCTGTTCCCCTTGGGTACAGTTTGATGCTGGTAACTGGGGACCAAAAAAAAAAACAACCCACCCAGCTTTAGAAAAACAGTATAGTTGGGTTCAAAGGGCTACAATCACTTTGTGCCTCTGGGATTGTTACTGATATCAGGGAAAACGTGAACAACCAGCACTAAGGAGCATGAGTACAAAACTGGGTCACTTTATTTGCTGTGTCTGTTTATTTCCCTCCCTAAACCTGCTGTACAAATYCTTATTTTTATGCAGTCTCTGCAAATGCCTTCTCTGACTTGCAGTGGGGACAATATTTAACTCACCTCAGGAGCAGTGTGGATTATTGCAGCTCCTGAAAGGCACTGCTGGTTTCTGAGGCACAACCAGTAATGCCAGGAATTACCACTGCCTTTGATCCCCCTGCAGAACACGATTTGGAAGGTGTGCAGGTCAATTTTCTGGGTGATAACAATCAAATCCTCAGTAAGCAGAGGCAACCAGCTCCTGTTTTGGGTGAATGGCTAACTCTCTCATGCACTGTGTCACTAATAAAAATGGGTTTGCTGYGATTTTGGGCACAGCTGAGTCATTGCTGCTCTTTTTCCCTTTGCACAGGCCCAGGAGCACTATACCCTATTATAGGGATTGAGTTAAACCATGGGGTTAAACCACGACAATGAATTAATTAAAATGGGGTTTGGAGCCAGGAGTGGATGTTTTCACAGGTTAGAGGTGCCTAATAAACAGTGGTGGTGCCTAATAAACAGTGGTGGTACCTAATTGTCCCTTCCAGCTTGTGGGGCAAAAAAATGCTTCAATTTTAAGGCTGAAATTCCTGGATAAAAACAAGGATTAGAGAACAAGAGAGGAATAAAAATTGACCTGGAGGCCCCTCTGTTCCCTCATATCCAGGGGAACTTTTGACCTGTGACCGTGGGTTTGGYTTGAAGCTTTTTAATTGCAAACTAAGGAAAACATTTGTGTTTTTTTTTTTCTTTGCTGAAAACCAGCCTGACTTGTTTTGCCTGTGTTACTGTGACAACAGCAAACTGGTTGCAACAGAGRTGGAAAAGAAACCCCTTTTCAGAGCAGGGAGGGAACCCAAAGCCACTCTGGACAATGGCACAATGGCTCTGAAGTTCCAACATGCACCTGTCGAAACTTCTTTCAACATCCCATCATCCCGGGGTGTGCGTGGGGGTGTTGGTGCTCTGGTTCCATTAATGCCCCTGGATGTGACACTGAACACAAAGATTCCTTTCTGGCTCACAAGGGCAGGGATCTGCAGTCCCACCCTGGGTTCTGGGATGAGTTTTCTCTGTTCCTCCTGCCCCASGTGTGCCCAGCACCTCTGCTGCTGTCCCTGTCGCTGTSCCYGTCACATTCACAGCCCTGGCACGGCTCCAATCTCATTCCTTCGCCCTTTGCTTTCCCCTTGCTTGCTGCACACCAGTTCACACCAGTCCTCACCAGTCCCCCTCTGTGTCCTGCTGTCCCCACCCTGTTTGCCGAGTGCCTCCCCCACAGCAGTGCTGGCACGGGAGTGTCCTGGGAGAGGCACCGAGGGACGCTCAGTGWCCCCAGTGTCACCTGGGTGGAGCCTGTGCCTGGAGAGGGCTGGGCACCAGAGGGTCAAGAATGAACTGATACAAAGTGGTGCCAACACTTTGGTGTGACCTCAAGTTCAAGCTGAACAGCTGGCAGGGTGACCCGGGGCGTCCCTGCCTGGCACAGGACAGTGACACGGCGAGGCGTGGCTGATGAACGCAGCAATGTGCACCTCCCCTGCAGGGTGGCAAGGAGAGAAAAGGACACAAAATGAGAGGTTTGTCACACCCAGCTTTCCTGTCACCCCACCACAGCCCTCAGGAGCTCCCACAAGGGAGTGGTCTGGAGAAGGGCACACCCCGATGCCTCTTGAAGGGAAAGTGCTGCCCCAAGCTCAGGGACTGTGCCAGGACCTACAGACGACGAGTGCAGCACATCTCTCCCCCACAGAGCACCCTGAGGGCAGCACTGGCTGCAGAATTTGCTGTCACTCTGCTAGAAACATGATGGACACTGCAGGCCAGCAAGGCTCATCCCTTGGGGACACTTCCATGGGGTCAATGTCATAGAGGAATGGCTCCTCAGGATGTGGGAATGCAGTTTGGTGACCACAGGCACTGCAGYCCCAATCTGACCCAAAATATGGGGCTGCTCCTGCCCATGCTCTGTGTTTGTTCAGGCACTCCCAGATCCCCCCCAGATTGATCTCTTATCTTCACCAGCATCCTCCCCATGCCTGGGATTCCCTTGCATGTGAAACTGGATGGAGCAGCCCACTCAAAAAACCACAAATCAGGGTTTTTCTCAGAGCATTTACAAGTCCCACTCACACTGCTGAAACACTGGGATTTTTGTGCTCCTGCAGCCACCACCAGATTTCACCTGGCTGTGCAACCAGAGTCCCCATCTCTGCTCCTCTCCAGCTTCCTCACAGCACAAGGATCTCTGCAGGCATCTCTCTAGAAAGATCTCTCTAGAAAGCAGGCAATTACATGCTACTTGAAGCAATCTGTGCACTCCAAGGCAGGCGAGGCCTCAGYTCCTATTAAAACAAGATTGCAGACATATTCATTAACTATGCCCAGATTGTAATCTCGGTTTCTCTTGCTTCACTAAGTGGCTTAACCACAATGTTAACTGCTCTCCAAATATTTGCATATTGGATACCTTGCCTCCAGCAATGAAATGAGCTAGGAGAGCTTCCATCTTCCCCTGAATTGCAGGAGAATTTGATTTTTAATAGAAAATGCAGGAGTTTTTCATTTTTCAGGCAGCTGTGTCTGTGAGTGATGAGCAATCTGTGTGCTGGGTACAACATCTACACAAGTGCCCACATGAATATGAACAAACTRGTGGGAACAGCAAAGCCACAAAAGATTAATTTTATGTAGGGATTTAAGCTCAACAGCAGAGATTCAAGCTTGATGTGTTGCTGACAAGAAAGTCTGCCACCTGAACACTTGGCAACCCTATTGAAGGTGGCCAACAGGAAARAAAGCCTTCATGCCACTGCTCAGCAGGCATGGCCTTGGAGATAGAATTTTCATTGCAAGAGTGAAATGTAACTCAATTATATTCACCCTGCCTGTGTTTATATACACAACTGTGGTGTTTAGAAACCTGCATTGAAATCAATGTAAAGTATTGCTCCTAAATGTCTTTTAACAGCAGAACTGCAAATGTAAATTACCAGGTTGGTCCTGATGGATTTCAAAGGTGTTTTCTTCAACATGGACAAAACAGGTGGCACAAGCATCTTTTGGCAYATGGAGAAATGCCATGACAGGCACTCACAGATTAGGAAGCATGGAATTTTATCCCAAAGCCTTGGGAGTGACACATGAACTCCCACTGCTGCTGCTGGCTTCAGGATCTGCCAGACATCAGCATCTTGCAAAAAAAAAAAACAAAAAACAAAAAACAAAAAACAAAAAACAAGAAAATCCCAACAAACCCAAACTGAACTCACTCTGATGATTCTTTCTTTATTTCCTTCACAATCCTGCATTTTCAACAGTTTCCCAAGAGCTTGTGAAGGAACCACGGGAGCTGTTGATTGAAACCCATCTTCTGGGATGGAGTAAATGTGTGCGTGAAGCCAGAGACACGTTCACTGCTTCCATCTGAACATTCCCACTCAGACAGCGATCAGAGCGATTGTGAGAAAGCTCACAGTGCTCCTGGGTGGCAGCAGTGACATGGGTGGCATCAGAGAGCTCCTGCTGCCCTCGTTGAAATCAAGCCCAGACACTCTGTCCGAGCTGGGCTTTCCCAGCTGCACCTCTGAGCTGTGGACACAGAGGGACAGGAGCTTTCAGGTCGCWGCCCGTCTGACATGTGCCCAGGGAGATCTCACCATTCCCTGGGCTTCTTTCACCTCCCTCCACTCCAGCTTTGTGTCTGGAACMTCTTCCTCGGGCTCGGGATCCTCTCGGACAGCCCCCTCGGGCAGGGCCACCACGATGGGCAGGGGRCCCCGCTCCTCCCGGAATTCCACCACGTACAGGCTCTTCTGGTTTGCCAGCTGCTGGTGAGTCTCCTGGGGGCAGGACAGGGAAAAAACAACCAAAACAGTGATGCACAGTGTGGCTTCACTTCAGCCCCAAATCCATGTGGTGTTTGGGGTAGGGGCTAAAAATACCCAAAAAGTAAYGTACTAATAAACAGTTTAAGCGCTGTAAATGAAATGACTCATTGGGCTTATCTTCCTGGGCCAAAATTCAGATGGCCAGACMTCAGATGCTCTAATTAGCACTACAATGTCATCCCGGAGGAATTTCATTCTAGAAAGACATATCCTGCTCATAAACATGCCTGCTGGCACATTAGGACCGTGCAGGATTATTTTTATGTYTTTATGTGGATCTAAATTCTGCTTTGAGAACAGAGGAATGCCTGTTGCTGCCCTGACAGGTGGTGTGAGCAAATATAATGGTGTGAATTTAACATTCTTTTCAACTACACCTCTTCCATGCATAGAAGGTGTTTTGGTAACACTCAGACCTTGCAGAATAAATGTGTAGGAGTAGCAGGAAATTTTTCCCATTCAGGGCAGTCAAAAAAACATATAAAGTGCACAACTCTCAAAGCAATAATCAATACAGCAGGCCCTTCTTCTGCTCATTCTGTGGAAGACAATGCACGGAAAATACAATTCTAGAGTTCCTCMAGTCTGATTACCCTCAGATATTGCCAAGCTGGGAGATCTGTGCCTCTCCTCAGGCAAAGGGGATCACAGCCCCCTCACCTCCTGAGGCTGAATTGATMAAGTTGGCTGGGACAGGGGGACAGATTTGACAGCTCCAGCTCTGCAGGGCTGTATTGGGAATGGAAGCAGCTAAATCTTGGCAGCAAACAAATGAGATACCCAGGAATTTCCAAAGGGCTGACTCATCCTGAGGCTGCTGTGCAAAGGAAGTGGGATGAAATGCTGCATGTTGGAGTTTTTCCATCAACTCCAGGCAGCTGGCTCAGACAGAGACAGCTCCACTTTGAGCATTCTGAGGTGGAGGAAATGACACCACCTCCCTGAGTGACYTCAGACATCCCAGTTACAACAGCAGGAGCAGCTGGGGCATTCAGTCCTTGGGCAGTGAGAATTGGAACACAAACCAAACAGCAGCAACCAAAGCTGGCCCACAACTCCCTCTGCCCAGGATTTTTTAAGTGGCACCAAAACCCCAACACGTGAGAGCCCAGGAATTCAGAGTCCCCTGCAGAAACCTGGCTGAGTGACACACAGCTGCTCCTGACTGGACAGCTCCATAAAACTGCTGAGGAATTATCCCCTTGCTGCTTTAGTTTGCTCTTTGCAAAATTACTTCATTTTAAGCCTGGAGTCAAAACTGCTTGCCCACAAACTGTTACAATACCCATCCCTTCTGCTCCCTGACCTCAGGGGCACTGGGAGGGCACCCACCTGTAGGGCCAAGCCTTTAAAGAGAGCTCTGGTGATGTTAATCAAGTTTTTGGATCCTGTGACCTTGGCATACATGTCCTTGATGCCAATCAGCCTGCAGATGGTGATAATGGCTCGGTGACAGCGGAGACCATACCCTGGGGAAAAAAAAGAAAACCAAAACAACCCAAAATTAGCATTATGGGATTATTTGTAAGCACACAACTTACTCAGAAGAAGTACTAAGATCTCTTCTTTGTTATTTTTGTTACTTAGAACACATTAGATGTTAAAAATGGCTCCAGGGGCTGTGCAGAGGCATCCCTTCCCTTTTCCTGGTCCAGCAACTGGAATGAATTACACTTTTTAGTGTAATTCTGTAATTTTAGTGGCACAGAGTGAAGGAGAGACAAACTTATTTCAAAATCCATGAACACCACAGAGGTTTTTGTGTCATCTGCATCCGTCTCCACCACAGAGATGGAGATTCAGCTCCAGTGCACAACTGTAGCACATTGGCATTGATTGCAAATTGTTTCTTAGACTTGCCAGGTTTAAAGGGAAGAGTTATTTTTTTAAGGAGTCTAATTTTGCTCCAGAGAGGTTTGTTTCACATCACTCTAGTGATCTTTGAAAACTGCAGGACAGTCTTGCTGCTGCAGAGTGAAGGAGATAAAAAAATACATCCTGGGGGTCAAATGGCTGGAAAGCAGCAGAAAAGGGCTGTTTATGGAACATTTAAGGAATGTTTATTTTAGTGAGGTTATCTGCCTGCAGAATTTGTCAATTAGGAAATTGAAGGGAAAAGAGGAAACCAGAAACCACATATACGAGACACAGATCTGAAAAAAAAAAAAACCCCAAAAGACAAGGGAAAGAAGAACAAAACACCCCCACTAACTGATGAGCTATCAGGACATTTCAGGTGGCACTTCCAGGAAGATCAAACTGACTTCAGAACCTGTAAAAACTGTAAAGAAAGGGAGATCTGGACTGGGAGGGGGGAGAGAATTTATATGTCTATATTCCAGTGGCTGGAGCAGGACCAGGTTCACATTTAGGTAATTTAGAACTGAAGGAACTCAATTTAGGAAGCGTGAAAGAGTGTGAAAAGGACAAATCCCAATTTGCAATAGCAAAGCCATGTCATCAGCAGCAGGCATTTCTAATGAAAAATGACTGATCACATTCAACATTTAAAACTACACACTACACAAGTTTAACTCACATCAAATAAATACCAGCCAGCAATTAATGAAACTTCAGAATTTCCAGGCAGCTTTAATTACCTTTGTTTTGCTTCTTCATGCGGATATTTGTCCTTTTAAATTTCACTGAAATGTCGTGGTAAACTGGAGGGAAAAAAAAAAAAAGGCATTACAGATAAATTATTCCTTTTAGAAAAGCTTCAGCTTTCTTTTTTTTGTACTGTGAATGGCAAGTTGGTTTTACTCTCTCCTGACTTTTTAAAGAGAAGGGTTAACCCACGTAAATTTCTGGAATAGATTATGAATGCTGAAATATCTGTGAATACTATATTGCTATTGAAAAATAGGTAGGTGTGCCYCCAATGAGCCTCATTTAGTTTTGARCTAAACTCACATGATACAATTTAACTCACATTTTTTAATGAACCAGCTTTTAACCTAAGATTTCTCCACAGGCATCAGCATTCTTGGATTTTCCAAAAATATATTGACAAGAAACTACCAGGAAACATCAGGCTGTGAATAAAAACCCCAGTTTTTTTTTCCCTGGCTGCTGGGCTTTGCCAGCATATGTGGATTGAGGCACCAGGGAATCATCTCCTCTGACACAGAGAGAACAAAAGCACAGGAGTTCAGTGCAGAGAAAAATGCCCCAACATTATCTGACCTTCTTAACTCAAACTGTGCCAGTGAAGATCTAATTTTGCTAACAAGAGCCTGAAATACCATGCATTAAGTATCCAAATTTGAAGCACAGAACCATGGAATTGTTGTTTGGGTTGGAAGGGACCTTTTAAAGGTCAGCTGCTCCAACCTCTCTACCATGAGCAGGGACACCTTCAACTAGACCAGCTTGTCAAAAATTATAATGCATCAGATCAGAAAAAAAAAATTATTTAATTTTTTTTATGCTCTGCAAGTGGCTGCAACCAGTTTTTGTTGGTGTATTCAGTGGTTATAGTGAAAGCATGATACTCACTTGTGTGGTTCTGATACAGCTCTACAAACTGTAAGGAGCTTATTGCTTTATTCTTTGCCTGGGGGAAAAAAAGCAGAAAACACTTTTTCTCCTCGAATTTTTCTATTAAGCACTTGCAAATTACCATTATTTAGTTAACAAGATAGAAAAAAAAGAAAAAACACAATTTAGGAAAACAGATTAGCCGCGTCTAAACTCTATGGAAATGAAAATGTTTAGTTTGGAGGAGGCTTAGGGGAAACCTTACTGCTCTCTACAGACACCTGAAACAAGGCTGAGGTGGGGGTCAGTCTCTTTTCCCAAAYAGGAAATGATAGGATGAGWGGMAACTGCCTCTTAAAGGRCTTTTCTGACCTAAATCATTCTAGGATTATCTGACTACAAATTATACTGTCAGAAAAAAAAACCCATAAATAAATGTAGGTACGAATTATTTGTCATCAAGCAAAAAATATTCAATCAACATACCTTCCTTAAAGCATTCATCCTGTCTCCTGCCTTCCCCGTTGCAAAACCTGCAAGAGAAGTCAGAGAAAGTAATTTTATTGTTGAGAAACAGACGATGCAGGATCTTCAGAAAGAAAAGTGAAAAAAAAAAAAAAAAACCCAGAGAACTTCACAGCCACATTTAGCATTTAAATTTCCACTCCACTGCACAGATCATACTCAGAAAATCAGAGAAACAGTTTAGGAGTTATGAACACCAAACACCTGGATGCCAACTGCTTGTTGTCAAAGGAAATGAATTAGGCTCAAATTGATTTTGTGTGTTTGACCAAATATCGTTTCAAACAACTGAACAGTGGTGACTGCTTCAGATTAAAAAAATCATCTGTTCTGTTTAAAAAGAAAGGAGTGAGTGAAGAAAAAAAGCCTAGGACAACTTCAATCCAATCATCCAGGACATGTGGATTGCAGTGATAACATGTTCCATGAGAAACCTTTCCAAAGAGGTAGGAAGAGTTTTTCAGAGTCACACATCTTTCTGCAAGGCAACCACACCTTCCTCTGTGTGTAAATCTTCCTTCACTTCAATGTGCAATCAAAATTCAGCTTGAGGAACACACGTGGCCTTGAATCTTTCACATAAACAAAAGTTCTGCACAACTCTGGTTGACCATAAATACAGCTGTCTTATTAAAGCTCCTGTAAAAATCCCACCATCAGATGTCTCCTTGTATATACCATAAATGCACATACCTGCAGCCCCTTTACCATTTCCAACAGCCACCAAGGCACGTACTGATTTTTTTCTGCCTTCCTTTGCCTTCATACAAAACACATTTCTCACCTGAAGAAAAAAAAACCAAAACAACACAAAGGTTCTTGTTACTGCACAGACCAAATGTTTTGGGGTTTGTTTGTTATTTTTTTGAAGATTTGGGCTCGATGATCCTGATGGGTCACTTCCAACTCAGAATTTTATGAATACACAGAATATTATGTCTGATTCTATGATTCCATAAGCAAGTCACTGCTTTACAGTCCCCCACCTTACATGGTCTAATAAATCCTGATGTGGACAAGGGACAGGTGGAGGAGAGAGCATGCTCTGGGAAAAGAGAGAACAACTTGACCTGAAGAATGCAGAATGTGGCAAAAGGTCACTGAAATGATGAGATAAAGGGAAGAGACTGGTTACCTGTCAGCCCAAACCAGCTTTGGACTGCTGGGGTTTGGAAATATTTGGAATTGTGGCCTTTGGTGAACCTGGCTCATTTTGATGTGAAAACCACACCTCTGAAGCTGCCTCTGAGTGGAGAACCCTAATGCTGAACGTGAATTTTGAAAATGCTGCACCCTTAAATCCAGGTGAGACACAGGCAAGCAAGGAGTAGCTCAGCCAGGCAGTGATATAGATTCATTACATAGAGCTGTAAATAATCAAACTATAAATATGCTTGTATTTCTGGCCTTTGGTGTGCTAACTTAACTCACAGCACCCCTTTTGGAGCAGAACTATAAATAAATCAAAYAGCTCAACTCTGTGTGGATCRGCCTCTTGCACACTGGGTGAGAGAACTCAATTTTGGGACAACAATCTGAGATCCCTTCTCTATCTGTTCTGGTCTCCTTGCTTTTGTTTATATATAAAATTATATCTTTATTTAAATGAATAAATATAGTTTATATACTGTACTTAATATATGAACTATATAGAAAGTATAAAAAATATATGTAAAAAACAAAAAAAAAAGCCCCATCCTGGATATTGCTTGACTGTGTTAATATCTGTGTTTCAGAATTACCAGTTAAAAGGCAGTATTACTAAAAATACTAATACTATAAAGATAGTATTATTATAAATATATATAATAATACACATATTATTATATTTCTTATAAAAGATTTTTTCATTGTATTATTTCTCCCCTTACTCTCAAATGCGTCAGGTTCTACTTCCTTGAAGCCTCAATATGATTTCCCTTTTCCCTACATGTAATTCCTACTCTGGATTTAGGGTTATACACCTGAAAATAGATTATTAGAAAATACTCGGTCATGGCTTAAACATTCTTATTAAAATTCACAAAAAAAAACCAAAAAAAAAACCACCCAAATCAAAACAAACTTCAAAAACAGCCCAAACCCAACAATCCTCCCAAATTTCAGTGCCTTCACTAGATACAGATTATGGTTAGTGCTTCTGGAAAATTTCACCTTGCTTTCATTAAAATAAAGACGCTGTTTAATTCGAGGTGCACACACAATTCCTTTGAGAAACACTTTGAAGAAATAGCAGCTTTGCCAATTGCTCATTCCAAGCTATTTTTCTTTCTTCAAACTCATTGCTCACAAGAACAAGCGAAAAACCCACGCCCCGTAAGATGAAAGTGCCTGGGGAAACGGGCTATTTACAGAAAATGCAAAATAATAATGGAAGAAAAGCGAGTGAAGCAGAGTCACCTCCCCAGGAGCATCAAGAGAATACTATTTTTGTTTTGCACACACTTTTATCTTCTGTTGCCAATCTGAGTAGGTACTTGCACAAAAATAGAGTCAGCACATCAAAAATAAAGGATGTGGTGCTTGCAGAAACCTACTCGTGGGTTATTCTCCTCCTTTTCCAGAAAGTGGCAATAAAGACACACACAAGGAGCTTCTCCAGAAGCCTTCCTCAAACTGCACCTGGATTCAGCCTAGACTGAAAACCAAATTTTAAATTTTGAAAGCAAACTCAACACGTGCTCAACCTAAATCACAATAGCTCAAATGAACTGTCCCCTTGTACCCATCACCCAGGGGTGACACTGCAAACTCAGCTTGCTCTCTAGAACTGAGGGAAGAGCAGCGCCTCAAAACCAAAATCAAACYAYCTCAAAACCAAAATCAAACYRCCTCAAACATTTATTGAGAGRAGAAATGACAATGTGRAAGCAAATTACCCTCAAAGGCAGGCTGCTAAACGTTATTAGGACTTCAGCTGTTGCACTTGGTTAGAAAAAGGGTAAAAAAATCTAAATTTTCTGGAGGTTTTTTTTGTTGTAAAAGCAGAATGAATGGTAATCTGATTGCTCTTGGAAAGCCCTCAAAATCATATTCTAGTTACGATTTCTAGGAACCTGCCACCTCCAAGGCCACCCTCTTGACGCTGCTGATATACAGAGAAGTGTCTGCACAGGCTGATCCCCTCATTGTGGTCCCAATACTTCCCCAAGGTACAAGAGGAGATGAGATAAAATCAGAGCAGCATGCAAAAAGAAAAGCATTTCCATGCAAATGAGCCCAGAAAGGCTCAGGAAAAGGTTTGGAAAACCCAAAAGAACTGAGTAATAAACTTGTTAACATAAACCAAACCCATGTCAGCTACAGAATGTCCCTGTCAGCCCTCTCTGCACCCAGGGCACAGCAGGTTTTGTGCACAATGGCAGAACATCTGTCAGCTGCAATGTTCACACTGAAATGATTCTTAACCTCACACCCTGAAAGGAGAAGAATGCAATCCCACACTGAGCCCTACAGAAAGGTGGGAATGCAATCCCACGCTGAGCCCTGTGACTCCACACCAACAGGAATGAACAACACCCACACAAAAACCCTGATAATCTCATCCTGCTCCTCTCTCTTCCCTCTCAGAGGGGATTGGCACTGCAGCTCCTACCTGAGTACAGATCCTTTGGGTTAACCCCACAAGAATGCATCCTGCAAGGCACAGTCTATCTGAAATGTCTTTGTTTCCTTTTCAAAGGATGAGCCCTAATTATGCCCAATTAAAAGTCAATCAAAAGCTTCTGATTGCTCCAAATGCCAGTTACTTCTTCCATACAGGGTGACAGATAAGGGATAAAAATAATTAACTCTTTATCAAACAGAATCAGTTGAAGGTAGCATTCCTAAACTCCACTTTTAGGGCAGGCTAAAATCTCGGAGATCTCCAAGAATATCAGAAATTGAGCACACCTCTGACCTCTCTTTTTTTTTTCTGTTTTAAGTGCCTTCAGGTGCTGTCTTAAAAATTGAAATTTTCATTGTCAGTCTAAAGACACTGCCACTATCATCCAGGGAACAGAAGACTTCTCTGTAGTTCTAAAAGCAAAATCTAGAGCCTACAAATACCCTTCAAGTACTTTTGAGGCAACATCTCATTAGAAGTAAATTATTATTCAGGAAGTATCCTTGATACCATATAATTTTTCAGTCATCAAGGATGTCAAACAGTGGAGCTCAGACACTGTAATTTCAGGCAGCATTTCTTTTTCACAACCCTTTTTTTATTGCACCCTTTGCAAGAAGAATAGGTAGAAAATAATTTCTAATGACTTACAGCAAGTTTTGGGTTCTGCATTACAGAATATTCTTTTTGTCACAAGTCTAACAAGATGAGCCAACAAGAAGAGGCCTGATAGGAGATCCCTTAATTAAAGTGAGAGGTAACAAGGCAAAGATGTCCAGGAAGGAGTAAAAACCATTTTCCAGCCACTGCCACCCCAGCTCATGGCAATAGAACAGACCATTTCCAGACATTTCCAAGCTGGATGGCAGAAATTACTTTGCATCATGCAGTTTAACACTCAAACACAAATTATTGAGGGTTTTTTTTGTTTTGTTTTGTTTGTTTATAACCAACAATGTCATACTTTCAGTATCTGTCTTAAAAAGAGAATTATTCTGACACTGGAAAGGTTGCATTGACCCTGCTAAAATGGAGCTGTGCTCACACAAAATTCTTCAAGTTGCCTTCATCAGAAACAGGCAATGAAAATTAAAAAAAGCACAAACAAACCAGTAAGTGATGACCAAGCACAGTTTTCTCGACTGGTAGCAGGCAGTTTCAGCGTTGGACAAAACCCCTTTGCACAGGGCATAATTTACAACTTTATCTTCTCCCTTAGAAAGCTCCCCTTAATAAGAGATTCCAAGGGCCACTAACCTCATGTTCTGTGCCTTCAGGCCTTACTGAGCACTAGGTCTCACTCTAATTTTAATTGCCCTGCAAGGCAATTACTATCACAGAATTTCATGCAGAAGACTTTTTTTGCTGTGTTACCACGTTCATTTTGGAGAAACATAAAAGAAAAATTCATCTGAGGATGGGTGACACACGAAATGAAGCCTTCCAGTAAAAATAATAATGGCACACGTCAGCTACATCTCTAAATTTTAATTACCACTGTGATTATATTACGTTAGACAGCAGTTAAGCATTACCACCAGTTCTATTTAAAGGGCTTGTTCTTATGTGTAATATATGAGCAGAACAGGAAATGTGCCTCCAGGCTGGCAGGGAAAGCAAGGAACAGGTAACACAAGTCACCTACACTTAGTAAAGCAATAGTCCTTAGGAAAGCCAGCAATAAAACCAATCCAAGAATAAAATCCATTTGCAGCCCCTACTGCTGCCCCTAAACACTTTTTTGAGCTAGGCTTTGGTTCTAGCTGACATGAAAATCTGAGCTTGTCCATTTTACAGTCAGGACAAACCAAATTACAGCTTTTCTGTTTCTGTTTAAAAAAACCCACTTTAATATGCAATTTCTCTCTTTTTTTCTTAGCAAGAGAGCACAGCCTTTTCAGTGGCATAATCACAACAGAAGGGGCCTATTCTATCTTTGTTCATAAGGCAGTCCTTTAAAAATGGCTCTCAATTTCTTGCTGTGAAGCACAACTTCCCAGCAAACATTATTTTAATCTCCTGTACTGCTGTGAAGGTAAAAATCATGGAGAAATAACATTTTATAGCAGCATATAGCAGCATGTTCCTTATCTATTCAAGACAAGAACGCAAAAATGATCTGTTTATTTTAAAACTCGTACTTGTTATCAGAAAATTGTAAGACTCAATTATCTTGA